TTTGCCTAATCATTCCAAGATTATAATAAATTCACAGAACTGGTGAGGTAATAAATGTTTTTAAATTGCAAAATTTTGTTATTATGCAGAGATAAACAAAATACTTCAGTCACTTTGTACTTCACTGTTCTTTTCAATTTCTTTAACTGAAAATAAATAGTCCTGCATTGTTTTCTCTTGCCCCACTATATATCCATTATATTATTATTATTACCATTATTATTATTTTGGTCTTTTTGAGACAGGGTCTCCCTATAGCCCCAACTGGCCTGGAATTCACTATGTAGACTAGGCTGGCCTTGAACTCACAGGGATGAATCCGCCTGCCTCTGCCTCCTGAGTGCTGGGATTAAAGGCGTGTGCTACCATGCCTGGCATCTTACTATTTTTAAACATCATATTTATAGTGCTAGTGCATAGTTCAGTGGTAAAGCACTTGCTTAGCAGGCTTGAGGTTATGGGTTTGATAGCCAGTACTATAAACAAAACAACTCCACTCCTAAACTCCACAAAAACTAAAAGAAGTCATCTTATACACCATCTCCTGGCCAGAACTCTTCTCTGAACTGTTAACCCATACATTCAACTTAATAGCATGTCTCTACTTAGAAGTTTCTCAAATATTCGAAAAAGAATTCTTGATTTCTTTCCCTTTCCCCAGCCTTCTTAATTTTCCTGATTATTACAACAGTACTGAAATCTACTCATATAGTCCAGGTCAACCCTAGAGCCCAGCACTCTTTTCCTTAAACTTCTAGACCAATTTATTAGCCATACCTGACAATCCTATTTCCAAAATTTGTTTACAATTATCTATCATTTTCCCTAAGCTAAAACAGCATTCTTACTTGGTGCCTGCCCAGTGCCAATCCATTTCTTACATAGTATCTTGATTTTCTGGATAGATCATATTATACTTCTGATTAAAACTTTTCACAAATGTTCCATGCAATTGGAGTGAAATCCAAATCCTTTATGTCATATAGAGAGTTCACCTGACTATTTCTTTACTCTCACCTTCCTCTTTGCTATGCCCATTGGACCACTCTGTCCATTCCAGAAAGGTGAGGCTTTTCTTCTTGGGATTTTGCATGTCAGTCTACCTGGAATACTCTTTCTTTTCTCTACTCATCTTTTAGGGTTTTCCCTAAATCCATTTCCTCACAAGGGCTTTCCATGAAGAAACACCCTCCCTAGTAAGTCTTCCTCATCCATTCTCTATCATATCCTTATTGATAGCAGAGTATGCAAATATTGAATCTATGTACATGTGTTCTGTGCCTCTCTCCTTGAGATCAGGATTGGCTTTTATCAATACTCCATCTGGAGGACATGGCTCAGTCAGTACCTTGGTACACATTTCATGCATAATTGATTAATGAAGGAATGAGATGGAATCCATTTATTATGTCTAGGTGTGTGTGTGTGTGTGTTGAGGGGGTGGAGGATAGAAGAGGGCATTGAATTCCCTGGAGCTGGAGTTACAGGTCTTTGTGAGCTGTTCAACAGGGGTGCTGGGAACTAAACTCACGTCCTCTGTAAAAGCAGTCACATGCTCTTAACCGCTGAGCTGTCTCTTCTCTCCCCACATTCATTCTTTAAACAGACAGTTTGTCTCTCTTTCACCACTGGCACTTGCTTGTCCATAGAAGTCTTTTTGTTTCCTTTGTTATAGGAGTTACACTTATCTCTGCTAGGTTTTGAGTTCCAACACAGAAACAGAAATGTCTTGTTCTGTTTTGTAACCCTGTAATACCTAGATTATAGATTTCAACAAATCACTGGTTCTCAAGTGATTTCTTGACACATGCTGACTCCCACAGATTCTGTCTCAGTGTATGGAGACTGACACCAGCCCCTCTCTATGTGAAGGACTGAATGTAGGGTCTGAAACATGTTAGGCAAGTGCTCTAACACTGAGCTATGCTCCTAGCCCAGTGATCTTTTTAAAATAAGCAATGGAGCAGGGCATGGTGGTGCATACCTTTAATCCCAGCACTTGGGGGGGCAGAGAGGCAGTCTACATAGAGAGTTCCAGGCCAGTTGGGGCTACTGAGAGATTGTCTCAAAAAGACCAAAAAAAAAAAAAAAAAAAAAAAAAAAAAAAAAAAAGCAATGGGATTATTCTCACAAGGTTGATCTTGAGGCATGCCACATCATGCTGAGAAAAACTAATATTAGAGCTTGTCAATAACATCAATATCATTGGTGACTCTTTCTGGAGACCAGGCTGTTTTATTATTTTTTGGTCTTTTTGAGACAGTATCTCCCTGTAGCCCCAGCTGGCCTGGAACTTGCTATATAGACCAGACTGGCCTTGAACTCAAGAGATCCACCTGCCTCTGCCTGCCAATCGCTGGGAGTAAAGACGTGTGCCACCACAGCAGGTTTGTGTTTGTTTTAGATAAGGTCTCATGGAATTTAGGCTAGCTTCAAATTTGTTGTATAGCTGATAATAGCAGAGACTGGAAATTAAAATTTATTAGTTTATTAGGCATAAAATATTTGTATAGCAAGCATTATTTTGTATTTATTAGTGAGGTTGCTAACATTATTTACATTTCTTCTTGGGATTACTTTCTATTTTTATGCAATGCTCAAATGACACTTTTTTTTTTTTTTTCTCGGTCTTTTTTTTTTTTTTCAGAAAGGCTCTCCCTGTAGTCCCCGCTGTCATGGAACTCACTATGTAGACCAGGCTGGCCTTGAACTCACAGAGATCTGCCTGCCTCTGCCTCCCGAGTTTTTTATTTTCAGGGTTTTAAATTTTTTTTCAGTTATAGCTCGTTTTTTCTTTTTCTTTTTGTGAGCGTTATGCCTTGATATATGTAAGTGTACCCGTGTCATGCAATGCCCATGGAGGCCAGAAGGGCATCAGATCCCCTGGAACTGGAGTTACAGATGGTTGTTAGCTGCCATGTGGGTGCTGCAAGGCTGCGATTTGAACCTGGGTCCTCTGAACGAGTAGCCAGTGCTCTTAACTGACCGGCCATCTCTCCAGCCCCAATGCCCATTTGTTAAAACAGGCTCTTGATTTTTTTTTTTGTGCTATGCTATTTTCACTATTATTTGTATTTTAATAGGAAGCAAATGATTACAAAGAAGGGAACTGTAATGGAGTCATGGTTTTGAAAATAAAATTAAAGAATACATTGAGTATACGTAAAGTAGCATTTAATTCAAGAACTTTCAACTTTGGTAAAGTACTTCACATCAAATAGACATAGTTAAGAGAAATCTGTGAGTTTCATCTATTTGTTTGTGTGCATCTATGTATGGGTGTGCACATGCCACAGTGCTCTCTGTAGAGGTCAGAGGATAACTTTCAGTAGTTTGCTCTCTCCTTCCAACTTGTAGGTCCCAGGGAACTTAGGCTGTCGGGTTTAGCAGTCTATACCTTTACCAGAAGAGCTATCTCAAAGGCCCCAATCCATCTACTTCTTAAAGGATTTGTTCCAGTATCTCTGGTCTTTGGTTAGTACCCCAATTTACTTAAAATCAAGCCAGAGCTGCAGAGTGTAGAGGAGCTGTAGAATACTTGTGTAGGATGTACCAACCTCTTGGTTCCATCCACAGCTACTCCACACCCGCAACAAATTATATTGCTTCAGATAGATGAGTTCATTTTCAACATATTTACAATAGCATTATAGAGGACTTTACATCCTATCCTGCAAAATAGATTTTGGTGTATTTTGAATAGAGATTTTAGCGTACTGTATATATCACTCATGCAGAATAGCAAGAGTTGTGTTGTCAATGGGCTGGGCTTTGGTCTTTTTGAGACAGGGTCTCCCGGTAGCCCCAGATGCCCTGGAACTCCCTATGTAGACCAAGCTGGTCTTGAACTGGCCAGCCTCTGCTCTGCCTCTGGAGCTCTGGGATTAAGGGCGTGTGCCACCACAGCAGGCTCGTTTTCCTTTTAACACAGTTCACCTACTCAACAAACATTTTCTGAGCTCCTACTTACTGCTTTGGACCTATCAGGGTCCAAAATAGGCCACCGAAGCTTTCACCGCCTAAGAATGAGATCCAGGTGAGGGGCAGATCGCCCAATTAAAAGAAAACCAAACTCAGGAGTCATTCCAGGAAAATCAGGTATTTCCAGTTGAGCTAGTAATTTGGACTATGAGGAGAGAATGCCCTCAACAGTGTTAAATTCACAACTAAGCTTCAATACTGGATACTGCTAATTACAAATTTGAAATCTTTCAAGGTTAACACCCTAAAACATCAAAGTGATAACGGTTCTAGTTATTACTGTTATTACCTTCCCTAAGCAAGTCCAGTGAACACGCTAAACACCTGTTTTGAAATTCTGCTCAAATAAACCCTGGCTTGCCTATTTATAACCTGATTCATAATTCTGGCAGATCAAGTTATGATGTCCCAGACTGCAAACTTCGCCCCATTTTTATGTCTACGCCAACCTTCCGCATTTCTCAGTGGCGCTGCTTAAGCATCGTGGCAAGGAGCCTGTGACGCAACTGCCCAAGCCTAAGCAGCTTCTAGGGACCGAGGCCTCAATTCTGGGTGGCTCAGACGCCACTCGGGAAAGTGGTGCAGCCCGTGACGGGTTTCAACTAAGTGAGTTCAGCGCTTTTAGTATTAAACTTAGGTGTCGGGGAGGGATGGCGGCGTTTCGCCCCGGAGGGAGACGCAGGTTTGTTCGCTTTCCGGTCTTTTTCTTCCGGGCCTGGTTTGGGCCAACATCCCTGAGTGTGGCGGACTAGCTAACTGCAGCAGGAAGCGGCTAAAGTTAGCTCGAGGGTCACCTTAACGCGACGCACAGTGGAACCAAAAGCCAGCGCGGAGCGGCCTCGCCCTCGGTCCGTCGCACTGCAAGCGAAGGCGGCCGCAACGTCTTCGCGCGAGACCGGCCACGAGACTTCCCAGAAAGCCTCAGGCAACATCTCACTAGCCGCTCCCGCTCCGCGCTAGGGCGGAAGAGTGGGCGGGGCCTGCCTAGGTATTTAGCGGCACCCAAGGCCACGCCCCCAGTCGGAAGTGACGGAACGAGCTAGCGCGTCGAGCCTAGCTCTATGGTTTTCCTCTCCTTCTGGAGTCGGGAAATGGCTGCTGTGTAGTTACAACGGACCTAGTCCCGAGAACCCTGCTTCGGTGTGTCAGGTAGGCCCTTCGCTGTGCTGAGCTGACCCCGAGGGGCCGTGGAGACGGAGGACGCGTGGATACTGTTAACTTTTGTGGGTGGTGACGGGGCGGCAGCGAGAAGAGAACCTAGGTGACACGGCGCCGTTATTTGTGCTTTTCTTCGACAACTCTGCAGGATTTTTCAGACACCACGGGCCGAGGAGGTGGGGGAGGGGGGCGCTGCGCGAACGGCGCTCGCGGGGTTGCGAACCTGGCTCGGGGTCTTGCGACCGCGCGGCCTTCCCATGCGCCTGCGCAAACCTGTCTGCAACCCTTCCCCCACTTTTTCGCCCGGGACTCCTGCGCGCGCCCGACCGAGCTCTCTGCGCACGCGTGGCTTTTTCTTTTCTTCCCCGCCTACGGCTACGCGGCGTCGCGGGTTCTCTCCGTGCGGGCCGCTGGATGGGTGAGACCAGGTTCTGCTTGCCTGGCCTAGCCTCTGGGGCTTTGGGAAAGCAGCTGGGACCCGCGACGGAGTTGCGTGAGCCAGCCACCACTTTCTGCCTTTGCCTTTAAGCGGCCTTCCTCGAATGCACGCTGCCTGTCGGTTTAGGCCTCGGGGTGGTATGGGAAAGTTTTCTTCAGTGTGAGCGGTCATGGCTCCCTAGCAACCTGCTGTGCTTTAGACGAACACGCACTTTTGGCCCTAGTAGTCGCCACCTAGGCACCATTCTGGTCCTAGCCATACCCGGACCAACAGGCTTACAGCCCTTGGACATAGATGCAAGAAATCTGCAGTTGTGATTGCACACACCTGGTGGGGTAAATGGGTGAGGGAGGTGAGTTGAGGTTGTGATAAATGAGTCAGATAACTGCTCCCACTTACCCCCTCTTTCGGGAGAATGCCGTAAAACAGTGTCTCTAACGCGTGCTGGTCTCGAAGTCGAAGCGATTGTCCTGCCTCAGCTTCGAGAGTGTGGATTACAGCATTGCGCCCTCTCTCCCGGCCTCAGGTGCTTTTTGAGTTTTCTTTTTTTTTTTCTTCCCCCAGGGGCGGGCACAATACTAAAGTCCATTCTGGCCATGCCTCTAATCCCAGCACTTGGGGAGGTGAGGCAGAGGCTGGAGGGTGAGTTCAAGGCCAGCGTGGTCTACATAGTGTGTTGCAGGGAGACCCTGTCTCAAAAAGACAAAAAGAAAAAAGTAAAAGACAAAGATTGAAAGCAAATGTGTTCCAAAACTTGATGAAAACGATTAGTTCAGACTTTTTTTCCCCACAGCATATTTTTTTTCTATGAAAGAGGATAAGGAAAACATTTCTTGTCCTCATTGTGAAGTCTCCTTCCAGTTTAATGGACTAAAGATACTGTAGGGCAGTAAAGGACTTATGCATCGAAAAAATTATGACCCGTTTATTTTGCATTTTTGTGATTCTAGCCAATTCAGGATAGTTTGATGGGAAGATCATGTGTCAGCAGTAGTTCAGAGTAAACAACTGGGATTTCCAGTGTTGGGATTGCAGGCTTGAGCCATCTTAACCATGCCTGATTTATGCATTGCTGGGAATCAAACCCAGGACTTGGCATGCTGGCAGGCACTGTGTCACCTGATTATATCCCCAGCCCTAAAGTTCACTCTTGTTGTAAAACAGTAGTTAATTTTAGGAATGGGCAACAGACTTGGAAAAAAAAACTTACTGATAGATGTAACATCTGGTTGAATGTATTGAACAACTTAGGTAGTCCTTAGATCTGAATTTATTGAACAGCTTCCTTGGCCTCATACTGCATTCTTTGAAAAATGCAAAGTTTTATCAGTTGTATGTAGACCTTTGGACAAAGAATTCCTAGAAAAAGTGCATTTGAAATCAGTTGAACACTAGCTACTAGTTCTGTCATTTTTATGATTTGTTAATAAGTAAAAAGAGAATCAACAGTCTATGAATGAGTAGCAGTTGTAAATGGTTAGGTTGTAGTTGGAGGATATAGTATTTTTGTGAAGTATTTTAAATCAAACTTACAGGCATTTCATTAAACATTTCTGGAATGACTGATAGAATGCAGATTACTCTATTGAAAATGCAGGAGTAACCTTAGACTGAGTTGTTGGAAGTAAGTTTATGGATAGTCTTTAGAAAACTTGTCACAAACAAGGTTTACAAGAATTACAACTAATGCTAGAGTACATATCATGGGCTGAACAGTTGCTTTTTCTATTCAGTATTTCATTTAACTATATATCTATAAATTCCATTACTGGCTTTATTTTATACCTACAGAAATTAAAGCTTGAAAGAGATTGGTGAGTTGTCAGTTAATGAGTGGCCAGTATTTGAACCTAGTAACTTAGGTAATAACTATAGTGTATTCTTCAGATTTCAAAAGATACGAATGGCAGTAATTTGTTGAGTAAAAAAATTGGGGCCCAGGTTTTGGTATGATAAAATGAAGACTTAAATATTTGAAGTGGTAAATCAAAGAATCCATTTTGAGAAGCTTCATCTTGAGTAGTTTTTGTTTTTGTTTTTAATTTTTTTGTTTTGAGATAAAGTCTGTATAGCCTTGACTAGCCTGGAACTTGCCATATAGACTTGGCTGGCCTTGATCTTGCCATGATAGGCTTGGCTCTGCTTCCTGAACACTGGGACCACCGACTAGGGTTTACAGATGTGTGAGATACTGTGACAGGCTTTTTTATTTTTGAGATGGTCAGGGTTGTCCTCAACCTTGCTGTGTGTAGCTCAAGTTGTCTCACCCTTGTGGTCTTCCTGCTTTCAAGCCTCTCAAATGTTGGGATCTTTAAGATGATAAGCCTTAGTCACCAAACATGAGTAGTTTCTTTAGTCACTTGTGTTCTAGCCAGGCATTACCAAAAGAATAAAGGGCTCTAAGTTAATTATAAACTTCATTTTTTAAAAAAAAACTTAAAAAAGCTTTAAAAAAATTTTATGTGTATGTGTGTATTGCCCACATGTCGGTAAGTGCACCCATGTCATGCAATGCCTGAGGAGGTCAGAAGAGGGTGTCGGAACCCCTGGGACTGGAGTTATGGACCATTGTTAGCTGCCATGTGGGTGCTGGGATTTGAACCTGGGTCTTCTGCAAGAACAGCCAGTGTTCTTAACCGCTGAGCCATCTCTCCAGCCCCATAAACTTTTAGAGACAAAGTGTGGTTTGTCTTTTTCTGAACTTCTCACTGGTGAAGGAGGTAAAAATTGAAGCACATGATTCCCTGTTTAGAAGTGGAGTCTCCTGTTTGGCACTTTTTAAAAATTGAAGATTGATTTGACATTTTGAATTCCACGCTTCATTTTTGGCTCTGTTGGGCACCTGTTTGTGCAGTGCAGAAAATACAGGAGTTGGAGTCAGGAGACTTCAGTCAAATTCTGAATTAAACCTTTTATACTCCAGCTAAAGGCCCTTAAAAACACAAACAGGTCTTTTGTATTTGTCCCAATCCTGTCCATATCCCAGAATTTAGAATTTAGGGGCTCTAAATTGATTTTTCTTACTTCCTCCATACCCCAGCAATCTGAATGTCTTGTTGAGTGTAATTTGAACCCAAAATCTAGGTTTTTTTTTTTTATTTTTTACCTTTTCTCTCATTGCTACCTAGATAACCATTATAGTTAACTTCAACTGTCCAATTTGTTTTCCTTTCTAGGCTTATTATCCTCTACATAGCAGCCATCAGATGATTTTGACTCTTCAGAAACCTGGGAATTACCTATTAGACTTAGTGAGATGTTTCAATGGGTAAAGTGCTTGTTATGGAAGTATAGAGACCTGGGTTCAAATCCCAGCCTTGCAAAAAACCTGGCCTGTAATCTGTTGCTCAGGGGTGGATACAGGAAGATGAGGACAGAGGCTTGCTGGTCTGTCAGCCCAACCTAAACAGTGATAAGGTTCAGTGGAGATCCTGTTTCAAAAAATAAGGTGGAAAGTCATTTTGATGTCAACCTGTAGCCTTATATCTGCATGTACACACAGGAAAGAAAAGAGTGAAATCAGATTGTTTACTCTGGCCTACTAGGTGCCTTTTGATGTAATTCATTTCTGTGTATGCCTTGTCATACCCTCAACTCCTGGATCTCAACTTCCTGCTCTTCCTGTCCTGATTTTGTAAAGTGTGTTTCTATGCCTAGAGTGCTCGGCCATCTGTGATCTTCGAAGTATTCCTGTCTGTAGTGTAAATATTAACTCATTAAAGAAGGCCCAAGGATTTATACCTAAGTTGTCCTCCTCATCCCTCTAAACACATCACCTTTTGCCTTTTTATTCTCCATGTGGCACTTGTCACTATTTGATGGTCCTTCCTCCCTCTCTCCCTCCCTCCTCTCTTCCCTTCCTCCCTTCCCTCTTCTGTTTGTATAATAGCTCCCCAGGATGGATTGGAGCTCCTAATTTCACCTACCTCTACCTCTACATTGCATGTTCACTACCCCTGGCATAGTGGTCTTTGATACTGATCTTGTGTATCACATTTTGTTGTTGTAATACTTGAATATAGTCAAACAAGAATTGGTCTCATCAGCACACTACAGTCTATTTTTTCTTTTAGTATATACTTGGATCTCCAAAAAAATCATGTCTTATAGGAAAGAGATTTGGCAGTTGATTCTTCTGAATAATATGCACATTAAACTTAGTCTTGGGCCAGTGTTAACCTAAAATTCTTATAACATTTCTAGCAGTGGAATCAGTGATAATGACCTCTAGGTCAGAATAAAGAGTGTGTGTGTGTGTGTGTGTGTGTGTGTGTGTGTGTGTGTTCGTTCTCTCACAGCTTTGAGGTTGACATTTGAGTGTCTTCTATTGCTCTGTAATATTTTAAAAATTTGAGACAGGGTCTCTCGCTGAGCCTAGCGCTCACTGATGGGTTAGGCTAGCTTGCCTGTGAGCCCCTGGGGATTGTCCTGTCTCCCAGCACTGGGATTACAGGTGCATTTACATGTGGCTGGGGATCCAAATGCAGGTTCTCATGTGAATGCCACTAGCACTTTACCAACACAGCCATCTCTCCCTGTAGCCCCAGCTGGCCTGGAACTTACTATGTAGACCAGGCTCACAGAGGTCCACCTGCCTCTGCCTCCCAAGTGTTCGGATTAAAGGTGTGCGCCACCACGCCTGGCTTCTAAAATAAAGTTTTAATGATAATTTAGAAAATTAGCTTTTTTTCTCAGCCCACTTGGGGGTTTTGATATTTAAAAGAACTAAACTTGTACAAACTTCGGAAGTACTTTTGGGCTGGAAAGATGGCTCAGTGCATAAGAACACTGGCTGTTCTTGCAGAAGACTTGGGTTTGAATCCCTGCACCCAACATGGCAGTTAACAACTGTAACTACAGTTCTAGGGGATCCGACAGCCTCTTCTGCCCTCTGCGGGCACTGCACGACATGGGTGCACTTACCTACATGCAGGCAGTGCACGCATACACATAAAATAATGAATAAAATACTTTTAAAAAGGAAATATTTTTATTTCTGTATCAATGCCTCTTTGAGTTTGTACTTTACTGCTTTGTAAATCTCCCATGTGGAGGGCAGTGGCTGTTTAGGGGATACTGTTACTGTTTCACCACTTTAATTTTGTTATTCCTTGTGTTTCAAAAATTTCATTTTCAGAGTTCGACCATTACATGATAAGATTCATGAAATTTTAATATGTCTCATTTAAGTCTGGTTATGAATGAATACTTTGAACACTGGCCTTATCAATATTGTATTTTTTTAGTTCAGTTTCTGTTCTTGTGGTTTTTGACTGTTGTTTTCATATAATTGATAACCACTGAATATTATTAACAAAGCTGTACCCTTTTCAGTATTGATAACTGCACAATTTTTTGAACCATATTTAAATCTGTTTACATAGTGAAGGTCAAATAGTTTAGGAAGAGTATTGATTCCCAGTCGTCTTGTGTCATTGCTGCTTGTTAGTTGGATGTTTGATTGGATATATGTATGAGAATGTTTTTTGGCAAAAGTTACTATGATTGCTGTTAAAAGAATTGGTAAAAATCTTATTTTAGATGGAAGTTTTGAGAAAAGAGTATTAGACTGTCATTTAGATGTTGGAGACTAGCATTATGAGTTGGCTACAGGTTACTATGTGTTACACGCTGTTTTTTTCTGAAAAGATGACATCTTTTTCTTAAACATTTCTGGTGGCTAAAATTAGACTTCAAAAATTAAATTTAAAAAGCTTAATTGCTATCTCAGTTACATGATGCTGTGCTGTATTATGATTAGGTTTTCTTTTTGGGCAGGTTATGCAGGATATCATGGAGCTTAGAAGCTTGGAACTTGTATACTGGGGGTGACCATGAACTCCTGATTCCTTTGCCTCTTCCTCTCTAGGACTTGGATTATAGGTGTTTACTATTTACCACTACACAGATAGATCTGTTGTATTTTTGAGATAGGCTGTCATTGTATAGTTTGGGTAGTTTTGAAATCACCTTGCTTCTGTTTAGTTTTACAAGTGCTGGGATTATAGGAATATACCACCATGATCAATTTAGTTAAGTTTTTATGATTAAAAGTTTGTTTCCTAAGCCAGGAAAGCAGTCACATGCCTGTAATTCCAGCATTTGGGAAGCCAAGGTGGAGGAGCTCAGCCTGGGCTACATAGGGAGACTCTCTCAAAATGAAAAAGAAGAAAAAAAAAGTTTTATAAATCAAGTTGCCTGTTTTCTGAGATCCTAAATACTTTTTATTAGTTTGTCGTTGCACCCAGTATATGTATCAGAAGCATTGTATGTCCATTTGACCATAACTCAAATTCCTCTTTTTTATCTTTGTTAGGAATTTGAATATAGAGTTTAGTTTCCCAGAACAGTCTCTCCAGAAGACTTAAAGTATCTAAAAGATCTCGCTAACTGTGGATCCTGCATAAAGCCCAAGGTAAATAACATTCATGTCTTCTAGTTTTTAAGACTTGAGAAAAAAACGACTGCTGAACAGATAGAATGGTTAGGCTGGGGCAGTAGCTCATATAGTAGAGTGCTTGCCTAACTTGCACAAGGACCTAGGTTCAACTCTGTTGTCTGGAGCTGTTTGATTGTTTCTTTTTTGGGTGACTTCTATAATCAGATTTTAAATTAGTTTTAGGAAATATATTCTTTTCATTTTTCCATTGTGGTTAGCTTTTGTTTCCATAAATATGCCTCCTAAGACTCAGAACACATAATGCCATTTAAAAACAAAAGAGAAACGCTTTTCTTCTTTATTTTTTTGACAGAACCTTGTTACGTTGCTTTAGTCAAAACCTTGCAACTTTCTGTCATCCCTAATGTAACTTAAGGAATTTTATAATTTAGTACTAATTTATAATACTGAGCAAGGTCTAAGTAAATCAAATTAAGTGTTCTAAAAATCTTTAAAGAAAGTTAAGATTTAAATATATGCGAATTCCTGACTCTTGTAAGTTTAATAAGTTGAATTTTATGGAATAAGTTAGAAATTTGTTAAGTTTTACAGTTGACCCTTGAATAACAAAAGTTTGAACTTCAAAAGCCTGATGACCTGTGGTCAGTCCTGAGTGGTAGAAGGAGAGCCCTGAACTCCCTCTTGTCTTCTGACCATTATGTATGCGCTGTGGCCCATTGGTACCTACATTCACATACCACACACATACTAAATAAAAAATGTAAATATCTGAACTTTGGTGGGCCTATTTTACAGTTTCAAGTTCTCCCTCTCTTTGCAGTACTGGGGTGCAAACCTGGACTTCGTTTATACTAGGCAATTGTATGCCCTTTTTTTTTTTTCTACTCTGATACTGGAGAATGAACCTAAGGCCTATAGTACATGCTAGTTAAGTACTATATCTCTGCTATATATTCCTAGCCCTCTTCACTTTTTATTTTGAGACAAGGTCTCATTAAGTTGCCCAGGCAGTCCTTGAACTTCAGATACTTTTGCTGCAGCCTCTTGAGTAGCTGAGATTGCAGGTCTACACCAGAACCAGTTACATGGGCTGATGGTTGTAGAAATTTGCAGCAGTTTGAGAAAATTTGTAGGCAAACCATATAATCTAGAAATAATTGAAAAAAAAATCAAGAAAAAGATGTTATACATGTGAAATACTTAGTTAATGATACTTTATTACTATAAAATATGTACGCATTTATAGAAAGTTAAATTTATGAACTAAATAGGTGGATGCGGTGGTACACACCTTTAATCCCAGTTCTTGGGTGGCAGAGTAGGGAGATATCTGAAATTGAGGCTAGCCTGGTCTACATAGTGAGTTTCAGGCTGCAGAGAGACCCTGACTCAAACAAAAAATAAAAAAATAAATTTATGAACACATGGATGATACACATGTCCATTTGCTGTTGAAATGTAAAAAAATAGCATTAAATTGTGATTGCACTACTGTGGTGCATACTATAATTTGAAACCACCTTTGTTGCTGTTTTGGTAAGCTCAAGTGTTTTGAGTGTCCACTTAATGTTAACCATGTTATCGTGATCATCTTGTGAGCATTTTGTTTCTTCGGTAAAGTTTTTGTCCCATTTATTTTGGGGCAGTTTATAACACATGCAACTATAAAATGTGCTAATTATCTTATTAGTAAGGCTTTTGGTCAACAACAGGCTATTAATTGTTGGGAAAATCAGGTTGTGTGTGGAATGTGGAATTTGGGCTACTTGGTGTCATTGTCCCTGGCACCCAGATTGTTTAAGCATCAAATTATATGGCCAAAAAAAAAAAAGTTTAAGACTAAAGTTAAGGCTAAGACTGTATAGTCTTATGAGTCATTGAAAATTAAAAATGTGGCATTTGGTATGTGCATGAAATGACTTATGTATATATTTAAGTTATTTTTAACTTCAGGAAGGTAGATTTTATAAATCAGTCTTGTCACTGATTTTTGCACCCAGTTAAATCTGTAGAATATTAGATAACTGTTTAGAAACGTTGAAATTCTGGTGCCCAACTTTTTTTTTCCTTGTAGTTTTAATAATTTTTGTGATAATCTTTCCATTTAAAATAAATCTTTTGTCCTTTTTACCAGTGAGTTACAGGATAGACTTGGCATTGTCATGTGTGTTCTAGCTATTCAGAGACTTAGTGACCTTTATTCTATTAGATTGATCAGTGTAACTTGAGGCTTTACTATATATGTAAAACAGGCAATTTAGTCCCTTTTTAAAGGCCAGAAAGCTTTATGATGACATTTTGGTAGGTGTTTCTTTAGTATCGTGCCACTTGTATGTTCTTTTTTATCAGTTTTTTTTTTTTCCCTATAAATCGCCGACATAACATGTTTTATATAGGTGAGGTAGGCATCTGTATTGGGCAAAAATCTAACACTGCTGAAGTCTGAAGAATAATAATGATTTATAAATTCCAACTGGTATCTGGAAATGAATAAATATTAAAGTGAAACTTCTTCATTGTATTGTGTAACCTTGTTCTTTCATTTGATTAGGAGAAAAGAAATGGGCCGCTCCAATTCTAGATCACATTCTTCAAGATCAAAGTCTAGATCACAGTCTAGTTCTAGATCAAGATCAAGATCACATTCTAGAAAGAAGAGATACAGGTGAATTAGTGTACTTCTAATGCTTTTAATAACGATAATCATGTAGCTAGTAATCAGTCTCTGTTATATGCAGATACAGTGCTAAGCCCATTAATTTATTTTATTCTCTATAAAACTTGATGAAATGGATCTATTCTCCTCATTTTAGATTTGGAAATTATAGCCTAGTAATCTAGTAAGTAGATTTGAGGTTCTTACTGTACTGTGCTAATATATGATGAAATTCTTTTTATTTTCCATGTTAAGACATGAAACAGATAATGTAAGATATTGAAGTGAATCACGGGTGTTTACTGTTTTGTAGTTTTTTATTTCTGAGTCTGGTTCTTTAAAGAATAATTGCTCTTTTGTTTAAAAATAATTAACATTTTTCTTCAAATAATAACATAGCACAGAAAGTAGAAGCTATACAATAACGAGTGCCACAGTCCCTTTGATAATTAATACTAGTCTGTAATTTTTTGCATTTTATATACTCAGCTCTGTTGAATATCAGTGGCTTTTCATGGTATATAATACCATATAACCTCTTTCTCTGTAAATGCTACATGATGCTACATGATTTAAATTTTTTTTACACTGTCACCTTAAGTACCAGACTAGATGTATTATAATTTTCTGTTGGCCATATTGATACTGTCTCCCCTGTTTTTTGTACCTAGATTCTTAAAGCCTATTACAAATTTATTCTTGTTGTTTAACTTAGACATGAGCTTTTGAAATATGAGAAATGGTAAACTTTCATAGAAATGAGATTTTTAAAAAAATATATATAATTTTACCTTTGATAATTCATTACATATATATACATAAAATGGTATGTACGATGTGCTTTTTTTATTTTTTTCTTAAATTGATATTTATTTCATTTTTAGTTCTAGGTCTCGTTCCAGGACATATTCAAGATCTCGTAGTAGAGATCGTATTTATTCTAGAGATTATCGTCGAGATTACAGAAATAATAGAGGAATGAGACGACCTTATGGGTACAGAGGAAGGGGTAGAGGGTATTATCAAGGAGGAGGAGGTAGATATCATCGAGGTGGCTATAGGCCTGTGTGGAATAGAAGGCACTCTAGGAGTCCTAGACGAGGTCGATCACGTTCCAGGAGTCCAAAAAGAAGATCCGTCTCTTCTCAAAGATCCCGAAGCCGATCACGACGGTCGTATAGATCCTCTCGGTCTCCAAGATCATCCTCATCTCGTTCTTCATCCCCATATAGCAAATCTCCTGTCTCTAAAAGACGAGGGTCTCAGGAAAAACAAACCAAAAAAGCTGAAGGGGAACCCCAAGAAGAGAGTCCTTTGAAAAGCAAATCACAGGAGGAACCAAAGGATACATTTGAACATGATCCATCTGAATCTGTTGATGAGTTTAATAAATCAGCCACATCTGGTGATATTTGGCCTGGCCTTTCAGCTTATGATAACAGTCCCAGATCACCTCATAGCCCTTCACCTATTGCTACACCACCTAGTCAGAGTTCATCTTGCTCAGATGCACCCATGCTTAGTACAGTCCACTCTGCCAAAAATACCCCCTCTCAGCATTCACATTCCATTCAGCACAGTCCCGAACGGTCTGGATCTGGTTCTGTTGGAAATGGGTCTAGTCGATACAGTCCTTCCCAGAATAGTCCAATTCATCATATCTCATCACGAAGAAGCCCTGCAAAGACAATCACACCACAGAATGCTTCAAGAGAGGAATCAAGAGGACGATCCTTTTATCCTGATGGGGGAGATCAGGAAACGGCAAAGACAGGAAAGTTTTTAAAAAGGTAAGAACCTATGCCTTTAATCCCAGCACTTGGGAGGGAGGCAGAGGCAGGCGGATCTCTATGAGGTCTAGGCCAGCCTGGTCTACAGAGCAAGTTCTAGGTCAGCTGGGGTTGTCTGAAATTTAGATTATAATATTAATAGTTTTAAAATTGTATTATGGTATGTATTTAACTTTTTACTTGTTCATATTATAACTCTAAATTATAGGCTAAACTTAGACATTAAGTGTTTTGATAACACTTGTTTATATTCCTTTTAGTTTTATCAGTTTTCAGTCAGTCTGCAACTGACAGGGAGAAATTAAGTGCCATAAGATAACCAGTGATGCATGTTAAAAACTATAGTTTTTTGTTAAGAGATTTTTTTCTTCTTTTCATCGAATGTGACCTACATAAATAATGTGATCGTATTACATGTTCTTATGTGGTATTATATATAGGCCAGATGTCAGTACTTAGTAAATTCTTCCTGACTTGGAAAAAAATTATTTTTCAGTGAGTCTAATGACATTTTAAGTATTTTGTTTCAATTCTAATTTCAAACATTACAGAAAGGTGCTAGCAAACTAAAGAAAATTGGGTTGCTGATACAGGTCGATTAACCTAAATGAGAAAGTAGAACTGGTATGCTATTTTATGATACCATACTGTGCAACCTGAAAGTTTTTCATTGAACTGATAGTTTCTCTTTACCATTGCAGAAAGCCATTACTTTTTAGAAAAAATTTCTGTGAAATATTTTGTGATTCAGATCCAGTATTAATTGCCTAATGGTATTATTAAAGTCTATTTCTGTGAGCTTTTGTTTATATTGACAGATAAGGTAAATGAAGGAAATCGGGTGTGGTGGCCCATGCCTGTAATCCCAGCACTAGGGAGGTGGAGGCAGGAGGATCAAGAGTCCAGTGCCAGCCTTGGCTGCATAGAAAGTTAAAGGCCAATCTGGGATATATGAGACTCTATCTCACAAAACAAAGCAACAAAAGTAAATGAAATCTGAAATTTTGAGTATAAGTAGAATTCCAGTAGATACATGCATTGTCTGTTACTGGTTCCTAGCCTCAGAAAGTTAAATTTAGGCTGTGTTGTGTATTATAGGATCTCTGTAGAAAATTGGATTTGTTAGTATATAAAATTAAGATGTGACTGCATAGAATGTTTTTTAAGGATGGATAAATTTATGTCAAAAGTCTACAAATTCTATATGAATGCTTTTAATGATTTTTAAAAATAGGGTTTTTCAGTAGGGTTATTTTCTCTTATTGCTCTTCCTGTGGTCTTGAACAACACATGTAAATATGCAAGTGATCTGCAGTCAAAGTTTACAATACAATCCGAAGTTACTATCCTCTTCTTTGCTTATTCACAGGTTCACAGATGAAGAGTCTAGAGTATTCCTGCTTGATAGGGGTAATACCAGGGATAAAGAGGCTCCAAAGGATAAAGGATCAGAGAAAGGCAGGGCTGAGGGAGAATGGGAAGATCAGGAAGTTCTAGATTACTTCAGTGATAAAGAGTCTGGAAAACAAAAATTTAATGATTCAGAAGGGGATGACACAGAGGAGACAGAGGATTATAGACAGTTTAGGAAATCGGTCCTCGCCGATCAGGGAAAAAATTTTGCTACTGCATCTCACCGGAATACTGAGGAGGAAGGACCCAAGTACAAGTCCAAAGTTTCACTAAAAGGCAATAGAGAAAGTGATGGATTTAGAGAAGAAAAAAATTACAAACTGAAAGAGACTGGATACATAGTGGAAAGGTCTAGCACTACAAAAGATAAGCACAAGGAAGAAGACAAAAGTTCGGAAAGAATAACAGTAAAGAAAGAAACTCAGTCACCTGAGCAGGTAAAGTCTGAAAAGCTCAAAGACCTCTTTGATTACAGTCCCCCTCTACACAAGAATCTGGATGCACGAGAAAAGTCTACCTTCAGAGAGGAGAGCCCACTTAGGATCAAAATGATAGCCAGTGATTCTCATCGCCCTGAAGTCAAACTCAAAATGGCACCTGTTCCTCTTGATGATTCTAACAGGTAATTCCACGTTGATGCCCAGTAAGTAAGTTAGGGGTAGCTAGTGATAAAATTATCTTTCCAAAGATGAAATTTTCACATTAAAACCAATGGTGTATTTTGTGTGTGTGTGTTTGTTTTTGATATGTTCTAGACCTGCCTCCTTGACTAAAGACAGGCTGCTTGCTAGTACGCTTGTCCATTCTGTCAAGAAGGAGCAAGAATTCCGATCCATCTTTGACCACATTAAGTTGCCTCAGGCCAGCAAAAGCACTTCAGAGTCATTTATACAACACATTGTGTCCTTGGTTCATCATGTTAAAGGTATGCTTAATATATTTAATATCATGAATTGGACTTTTCTTGCATGCCTTATTTTAAAAATGGAGTAGTTATGCTGACAGTGTACTTTAGGGCTAGAAGGTGTGTATCAATACTATTAAACATTAGGGAAATATTTTGTGAAGAAGATACAAGTCTTGTTAGCACTGAAACTAATGAAGATAACTGAAAATAAGTCCTGTTGCAGGTGAAGTGCAGGATGCTTAAAGATTTGCTGTCATTATGTGCTTATAACTTGTGACATGTAATGTTGCATAGGTTTATAACATTTTGGCAGTATTGTTATTGTTTTACTGAGAATGTATATTTGGTTTTTAAAGAAATCTGAAACCACTGGAAAAATACTTCTCTTTTCTGTACTATTTAGTTTATAATACTTCAATTTTCTTATGGTTTATCCTTTAAAATAATCAGAAAATTTTAAAACAGTTAAAGTTGAAGAAATTAACAAGTGTATTAGATACTGATTACCTGAGTAAGACTAATTAGAAAATTTATCTTCACCAGTATGTACTTAATAGTTTAAAAGTTGCTAATAGTTTTCAAAGGTTTTAGGGTATGACTTTTGTGCTAATTAGGTTAAGTTTTGTTTTGGTTATTTTGTTTTTGTGTTTAGCAGGTTCTTTCCCAGGAAACTCCATGGATGTTGTTTTGGTTTTTTTTTTCCTTTTTTTTTCTTTTTCCTAATTTGTTACAACTCATATCTGAAACTTGTCACTCACAATTCCTTATACACCTGGTGTTTCAAAATTAAATAGTTAATACATTCCTTTTTGGCTATAGTTAATATGGTAACAAAAGACTTTTGTTATTTGGCTATAAATACACTTGTGAACCAGATTATGACCATATTGCTGTGGTACATAAAATATGAAACATTAGCATTTTTTTTTTCAAACTTTTTGACGTATCTCCACACTTTACAGTTTATTGTTGAATTTTGAGATCAGATTTTGATAAATTTTTTTTTCATTTTCTTTTTTCCATTTTTTTAGAGGAATTGTAGTTATGTTTCATAATTGGTGTTGTGCAACCGATCTGAACAGCTCTTACTTTATATAGAGCTGAAAATGCCCAGTGATGTTTTCTTTTTCATTGTAACTAGGTCCTGGAATATGTTTTGAAATGGCAAAATCCATGTTTCAAAGTAAAATAGCTGTTGAAAGATACAGGCAAAGTTGAATCTTCTGTCTTCCTGGCAAAAATGGCATAAAAACTGAGTTGCTAGCTCAAATTCCTGGGTTTCATGGAATTATGATTGAGGCACTACCCTTGTAGTGGCCGTTTCAAGTTTTAATGATTGGTTATGAGACATGTGCTGGATATTGGGCGGTAAGTTGACACAGATGTATGTTGACCTGTTAAGCAGATAGCTTGCTTCATAATGTAACATTTCATAGCTCATGACTTTATACGTCTCTATTTTACATTTACAGCATATCTTAAATTGGTTTAGAAATTAATATTGATATTACTAATTTAAAAATTATTTAAAGACAATATCAGATGTGCTGTCAGGTTTGCCAAGATGCCAGATTTTTGGAGTAATTAGTGAATGTTTCAAATCAGTTTCAAAGTATTTCCAGTTGAATGGCAGCATTCACTATTTTTTTTTTTTTTTTTTTGGTAAAGCCATTTCTGTTGATAATGTCAGTATAGTTCTTGAAATTATTAGTATACTCAAGCTATCTTTGTAGTTATATCTATTTTTGCTTTCTGTAAATGATTAGTTGAACTAACATCTTCATTGATTCACAAATTGGCAAGATTTAAGTACATACCATGGATTATTGTTCCTTTTGATCTGTTTGAGAAAGTAGTGCATTAGAATGGAACTAGAGGCTTGATTAATATATTAATTGTTCTTGGGTTATATGTAGTATCGACAGGGAGCCATGAGGATCTTTGCAATCACCTGTTGAGGTGTACAGGAAGAAAGAGCAGGAGTTTTTATTTTAACACTGGATTCTCTTTTGCTAGGTTTCTTGAGTGTTTTTATTTTCCTTTCACCTGCTACATGCCCTCCTATCACAAATGAAAATCCCCTCTTAAAGATTCCTAATTCGCCAGTGTTTCTCCTAAATCAACAGAGCAATACTTCAAATCACCTGCAGTGACCCTAAACGAGCGGTTCACTTCGTATCAGAAAGCCACTGAAGAGCATAGTGCCCGGCAAAAGAGCCCCGAGATACATAGGTATGTGTAGTATTGAGTTTGCATGTAAAAATGTTTTGATAGATATTTAAACAAGATTATACAGGAACTGTACTGTCATCATGATATAAGTAAACTCTGGTTTGCTCATGCATATATTGAAAAAATGTTTTTCCAAGTTTTGAAAAATTTTAAGTTTTTTCTGTCATTTAGTTTACTTGGTTTAAACTTATTATTAGAACTTCAAAAACTTAATCAGTATGGGATTTAAATCGCTATGGGAATTAGATTTTGGGAGGCTGAACTAGGGGAGTGAATGCCTAAATCCACTATTGAATTTACTATCCCTCAATTTGAAATAAAAATACTTGGTGAGAAGCAGAAGAGTTTTTCATGTAAAGATGGTGAATGTTGAACTAGCCAGTTTCTTGCAGTTCTGGCCTTGTCTTGGCTTTGTCTTGTCATTGCATTGGGAACAATTTATTTGTTAACTTTTCATCTACAGAATACTTGTAGGATAGTGGTAAAAGTTTTGCGCTTATTTTACATGGTGCTTAGTACTTAGGTTGCTTTTGGTAGTTGGTGACTGCTGAAAAAGCACTGAAGTTTTAACTTTTAGCTTAAAACTAAAGAAGGACTGAATACATGAAAATACAAGAACTCTTGGAAGCCAGTGTTATATTCTTTAATACATTAATCTTGATATTACTATTGACGATATTAATGTGTTGTGTAATTCTATGATGATCAATATTTTTAAATGATAATAAAACATTGTTTTCTTCATGGTTAAAAAGCTTGATGTTTTGAAAGGTCAGCCTTCATTTATATGTAAAAGTCCACCCCAAAGTCTTTTAATTCCTTTTTTTGTTTTCTCTTGAGACAGGGTTTTGTTATGTAACCCTGGCTGGCATCATACCCTGTGTGGTTCCTGTGGGCCTCAAACTCAGTGTTTCTGTCTCAACCTCCGAAATGCTGGAATCATTGGCATTTGCCACCACACCCAGCTTTTAATGTCATTTTTCTATCTTAATTGTCTTAAGAGTTGAGTAGGCTTACTATGCCAAATTGATTTCTCAGGAGAGAAGTAATGATCTAGCACCTCTCATCAGTGAGGGTAGTACTGTATTTTCTTTTGAATCCCAAGGTTTATAATATGACTACAAATATGCTTTATTTTACATTAAGGAGAATTGACATCTCTCCAAGTGCTCTGAGGAAGCATACCCGTTTAGCAGGGGAGGAGAGAGTATTTAAAGAAGAAAATCAAAAGGTATGTTTTTAGATATATTTGTTTTTCATGTGAAGTTGAGCTCAGTTAATGATGCTACACTAAACATTGTTTTCTTCAATGAAATGCTTACCTGTATCTTTTTATTTGTAAATATAGTTATGATAGTGTATCTTAATTTAAACCAAGAATACTTTGTGAAAATGTTAAAGTAAAATGTTAAGTCCTAAGAAAAGGTAAAGAATCAGTGAGTAGGCAAAAGATTATAAAAACAGCCGGCTGTGGTGGCGGGCACCTTTAGTCCCAGCACTTGGGAGGCAGAGGCAGGCGGATCTCTGTGAGTTCAAGGCCAGCCTGTTTTACATAGCGAGTTCCAGGCCAGCTGGGGCTATAGGGAGACCCTGTCTTGAAAAGACCAAAAAAAGAAAAGATAAATAAATAAAAACAAACAAGTGCTAGGTGTGGTAGTGCATGCCTTTGTTACTAGCCACTCAGGAGGCAGAGGCAGGTGCATGGCTGTGAGATTGAGGCCAAACTGGGATGGTCTACAAAGAGAGTTCCAGGCTAGCTGGGGCTGCATAATGAGACTCTGTCTCAAAAAACCAGACCAAACCAAAACAATTCCCCCCCCCCCAAAAAAACCCCAGAAGTATGAAATATTATATTGTGATTTGGGGGAAGTTTTGAGGTGAGATGGATGAATCAGAACTTACATATGCCTTAAAGTAGTATCTCTGCTTCTTCATAAATAAGAAAAGTTATTCTTATGCTATATTAGGCCCTTTTTCTTTTTGCCAAGTTTTAACTTTGTGTAGGCTTGACTGTCCTTGAACTCATGGCAATCCCCCTGCCTCAGCATAGTTTTCCATTGGACTACTTGCAGATTTGGAAAATGACTTTTAGACTTCAGAAAGGAACCTATAAAAGATTAGGTGTTGCAGGTATAGGGAAGATGTTAGGGACTTGGTGAGGTTGTAGCTCTGTCATTAAAGCTAACTATGGTATACTATGATAATTCAAAACAGACATCATATGGACTAGTTTCTATGACAGTCTAAAGTGTCTAGTAGTAAAAATGTACAGAAAAAAAAAAACCCCAGAAGTATGAAATATTATATTGTGATTTGGGGGAAGTTTTGAGGTGAGATGGATGAATCAGAACTTACATATGCCTTAAAGTAGTATCTCTGCTTCTTCATAAATAAGAAAAGTTATTCTTATGCTATATTAGGCCCTTTTTCTTTTTGCCAAGTTTTAACTTTGTGTAGGCTTGACTGTCCTTGAACTCATGGCAATCCCCCTGCCTCAGCATAGTTTTCCATTGGACTACTTGCAGATTTGGAAAATGACTTTTAGACTTCAGAAAGGAACCTATAAAAGATTAGGTGTTGCAGGTATAGGGAAGATGTTAGGGACTTGGTGAGGTTGTAGCTCTGTCATTAAAGCTAACTATGGTATACTATGATAATTCAAAACAGACATCATATGGACTAGTTTCTATGACAGTCTAAAGTGTCTAGTAGTAAAAATGTACAGAAAAGGTGATCCCTTTCTAAAATGTTGCAATTCGGAAAATAACTGCTTGTTTTCAGATTTTGCCATCAGTAAGTATTATCTATAATACATTTGGAAAATAATTAACATCTTAAACTTTTTTTTTTTTTAACTTCGATATCTTGAGTTCCCTGTGCACTAATTTTGTCTCACTTCTGACACAGTGTAGTTTGTTTCTGTCTGACAGTATATTCTTCTCTTACTCCTCAGACCAGATTTGGGTCTGGAAGAGTGAGAACCCATAACTGATAGGTCGACGTTTTAATGGATTTTGACATCTTCCTATCTTATGAATAATTAGCATTGTTAATAAGCAGTTGTTAAATACGTAGCAATTTGCAAAGTTGTATCTTGTGGACTCAATAATACCTAGGTGAATAGGAAGGTCTTGCTTTGATTTAGACATTTTTCCTTTTTACCCCCAGGAACAAGTAGGTGAGTAGTTATCACTTAGAGATACATATATATTATTTCAATTATATGGATGCTTATAACTACTGTAGTTAAGACTTCCCAGAATACTTTTCATTGTTGAATAATATCAAGGATGTTCACATTGCTTAGCATCTTACTGATGTATAATTTCTCTTCATTCCTAGATGCCTCTTTTCAACTTCTTAAATTATATAGTATTTGAAAATGCAATGGAACAAGAAGGAGGTGAACTGTGACCCAGTTAAACTAATGTCCTTTGCAATACCTGAATTGAGAAAGGGCAATATATGGCCTAAGATACTGAGTACAGGATTGCGAATAATATCTTTTTTACTTTTGTTTTGACCCTTGTTCAACCTCAATTAGTTTCATTAATCATATTCCACTTGCATGTTATGAAAATTAGAGACCCTATTTATGAAGTACCTTTTATTGGGTTTATCAGCTTACTTGGGAAGAACTTGATGGTGATGAGGCTTAATTAACCAGTGCCATAACTTCAGGATCTCAGTGTTACAGGCTGAAAGCTACATTGCAACTGTAGATTATAACTTCCATCAATGTCCAACTATTTTTAAAATGCTATGTGGAAGAATGAGGGTTAGCAATGAAGATTTGCTGAATAGAAAGATAATCACTTTACTGTACAAAAGTTTATGAATTGCTCTGAGTAAACACTGTTAGACTCAGGATAGTTTTTAATAACTTCTTCAGTCCCACTGTGTACATAAATGCTCAGTAAAAATACTCATTGTATGGTTGTTTTTTTTTTTTAAAAGAAAGCCAGGAATGATGGTAGTTATGATCCTTCCTTTTTGGATACTAAAATGCCACTTTAGAAACTGGCATAAATGTAACTATGTGTCTGGATAAATTGATGTTTCTTCCCTGAAATCTATATTTTACATGTGTTTTTTATAGGGAGATAAAAAATTAAGGTGTGATTCTGCTGATCTTCGGCATGACATTGATCGCCGTCGAAAAGAGAGAAGTAAAGAACGAGGGGATTCCAAGGGCTCCAGGGAATCCAGTGGATCAAGAAAGCAAGAAAAAACTCCAAAAGATTACAAGGAATACAAATCTTATAAAGATGACAGGTAATTGTTAAAATTGTCTGAGTTAGGTTTTAGCTTCTAATTAGCCTTTAATAATTGTAAGCTTAATTGCTTTCAATTTTGACTATGTAATCGAATGTTTAAATTTAAACAATTAAAATTATTTGTTTTACAGCAAAAATGTATTTGTCTTTTACACGGCTTATGGTGGATGAGGACAAAAACTTTGGAATAGCAAGCTAACACTGAAAAAAAAAATGACAAATTAATGTGTCCTATTATCCAGGCTACATCAGGAGGTTGGACTTCAATGCAGTGCATTTCTAGAAACAGTTTGTGTAAGAACTTTGGTTCGTTATGCTTGATTCCGCACTTTTTCAACTCATAACACCCAGAGTACAAGACTTTTAAAATGATATCTAGTGGTTTAACATGGGGACGATGGGGGGGAGGAAGAACTAGAAGTAGGAATATGTTTCAAAATTATGTTTCCGTGGATACTGTTAGCAGTGGTAAGAGTTACTGCAGGTATGACCTTTTCGGGTGTTGGATTAGAAACATGTAAATTTGATCATCGTACAGTCAAATTGTAGGAATACAATGTATTATAGATAATTGTTTTTCTTGCTATTCATTAGGTAAATGGTGGATTTTACTTGTGCTTTTAATTTTATGACTGGTATTTGTAATGTTATATGTTTTTGTTTCTATAATGATGTTATGGCCCAAACGATATGAACTTTTCTCACTCAGGGTATATAAACTTGCAGTCATTTTTAAACTTAAGAGCATTCTCTTTTTGGGCTGGGGTTCTAACTTAGTGATAGATGCTTGCCTAGCATGTGTCAGGCCCTGGTTCAATCCCCAGCACTGCAAAAAACAACAAAAATTTATTCTTTTCCTTCTTTTCTTTTCATTAAAATAACAAAAGATATCATAAGTTAACTTAAACATAATGAAGAACTGAGCATCTTTCTTGAAGTTTGCAAACTACCAGTTTCTGACTGGTGGGCTGTAGCATGCTTGTTAGTCATGTAAAGCAAACATTGAAGAAGAATGGAGACAGACTGTGTGAGAGTTTAACACCCAATTTTACTTATGTAATAATTTTAAAGGGGATAGTTTTTTAACTTAAAAACATTCCTCATAAGATTCTAAAGAATTTTTTATCTTTTAAAAAAATAGCACCTTTTTTCTTTATTTTTCAGCAAACATAAAAGTAGAGAACAAGATCATTCTCGATCGTCATCCTCTTCAGCATCACCTTCTTCTCCCAGTTCTCGAGAAGAAAAAGAGAGTAAGAAAGAAAGAGAAGAAGAGTTTAAAACTCACCACGAGCTGAAAGAATACTCAGGATTTGCAGGAGTTAGCAGACCACGAGGAACCTTTGTAAGTAATAGTTACCCTTGATCATTTAGTTGGTTTTACCTTGGAGAACTGTACAAAGGGGAAATAAGATATATTTTAGAGATGACTATATTAGTCACGATTAGAAATGAAATTATATTTGAGTGTTATCCCTTCAGTAGGAAATGCCATTTTGAGCTCTTGAAGCAAGCATCTATGTGAATTCTTGACTTTCAGATTAGTAACAGATCCAACAAAGTTCACGGATTCAATTATATTTAGATCACTTAGTTTTTGAAAACCTATCTTAAGACACTAAAACTGATTTATTTCTGTATTATAATTGTTTTCATTTTTGCCTATTCAAGTTCTCACTTATCTGTAGCAGTCATAACTTTTTATTTTACATAGTGTGCATTTCCCCATGTTTTCATAAACTATTTCATTTAACTTTAGAGATGTCAGTGTAATGCATTTATTTTGCCTCTTAATTTCTAGAATCATTCCTACCTTGAGCTATGTCTAGTTGACTGTTACATTTATTTATTAGGTCATTTAAGGAAGAAAAGAGCTTTTCTTGTAGGGTAATACATGTGATTGGATACTTAGGACTCCAGTGATAATTTGAAAAAGAATTAGATAACTTTTGGTTAGTGAAAAGGGGGAAATATTTTATTGCTAAAAATACTGGTTCAGGTCATGAACATGCTGTCTAAGACTTTGGTTGTTTATTTTTCTTAATGTACTCAACTTCCAGTAGGCAGAAGATTTTGCCTATGGTTTAAAGTGGCCATCCTTTCCATCCTCAGTGGCTGTGAAGTTGAGGTTTAGGTAAGAAATTAGGAAACACACACATGCACACACATTTTGTTATTGTTACTGCAGTAAAAGTTAGAGTTTGCATGTAACTAAATGCCTTTGATTGCATTACTAAACAGTGTTGTTAATGTCAATCAGTTTCGAATTAGAGGCAGAGGAAGAGCCAGAGGAGTTTTTGCTGGGACAAATACTGGTCCAAACAACTCAAATACTACTTTTCAAAAGAGACCGAAGGAAGAGGAATGGGATCCAGAATATACCCCAAAGAGCAAGAAGTACTTCTTGGTGGGTGTTAGAAATCTGTGTTTATTTGGTTTGCATTGATTTTCAAAACATCTAGGTGAATACATTTGAGTGCAGATGTCCACTATTATGAGATTTCACTGTAACTTGGGAAACCATTTTTTAAAAAAATAATTTCTTTCATTGTTTGAAACTTTAAAGATGTGGGTCCCTTTAGTTCTGTTTATTCTTTCCTTAACATCACATACAGACTGATTGGGATAAACTAAAAATACTCCAGATATGGTTGCCACATCCATAGAAGAAAATCATACTGTAGATGAGTTTAACATCTTTCACATCTGTCCATAAGACAGTAATGATCGTAGAAACTTCTCCTTCATTTGAACCTTCAGTTGTAGCTATTTGTTTAAAAGACAGGAAAACATTTTTCATTTCTCATAAAGGATTTCAAGAAGGTTTTCAGATTTCATTGGAATAATAGGAAAGCTAGGATTTGGAAAATATAATTGCTGGCTACATTGATTTTGAGGCTTCACTGTAATGAAAATGCTTTTCCTGTTCACGTAGTCTTTTGAGGATTAAATAGGAAGTAGTGGAATACTGAAGGCTCTCTAGATAGGATGATAATATTTTTAGCTTGGCATGGGAAAAGATTGTTCTCTGTTATTTTAAGATGCCAAAATTACCACCAGAGGTACTAGTTTTTATCATAGCTTTTCATGGAAGTCACGTTTCTAAGGCTAGATTTGTAAATTCAATTGCTTGGAAGCAAGGAAGAAAGTAATAATAGGATTACAGGTTGATGAGTGTCCATAACGGGTCTGCTTAATTGGGGAGTAAAGCTATATTCTGAAGTGAATCTGTTTGGAAAATGGTCAATTTTTGGGCACAGTAACAACGAAGAATTTGGAAAAGTTAGGTAAACTTAGAACGCATGGTGATTCATCAGTTCATGTTCTCTACTGAGAAAACTGCTAACTTGATAGTCTGGAAAGAGTAAGATGTTTGATTCAGTTACTGATAAATTACGTTAAAAGATTTATTTATTTATTTATTTTTGGGCTTTTTGAGACATGGTCTCCCTGTAGCTCCAGCTTTCCTGGAACTCACTATGTAGACCAGGCTGGCCTTGAATTCACAGAGATCCACCTGCCTCTGCCTCCTAAGTGCTGGGATTAAAGGTGTGTGCCACCACGCCTAGCTATGTTAAAAGCTTTTAAGAGCACTTGCCATTCTTGAGAGAACCTAGGTTCCGATTCAGTATCCACATTAAGTGGCTGGCAACTGCTTTTACAATGGCAGTTCATGGGATCCTGATACCCTCTTCTGGCTTCATTACCTATCTGCATGTGGTCTGCATAGACACGAGTAGGCACATACTTATAAATTTAAAAAATTATCAAAATTAAGTATTGTAGGGGCTGGAGAGATGGCTCAGCAGTTAAGAACACTGACTGTTTTTGCAGAGGATCCGGGTTTGAGTCCCAGCACCCACATGGCAGCTATGAACCGTTCTTAACTAGTTCCAGGGGAATCCGAAGCCCTCTGACCTCTGCGGCATTGCATGACACAGGTGCACTCAAATATATGAAAGCAGTACACTCATACACATAATAAAAATAATAAATAAAAAAATTAAACATTCTGTGATCTTAAAGAATTTATAAAGTGCTCTTATGTTAAGTACTGGGCATGGAAAGACAACTATGAGATAATTCTAATTCTGGGATAAAAGACTAGTAACAGAGGCACTTTCTAAAAGCATATGGTGATTTTTTTACAAAGGAGGAAGTGGATTTTTGCAAAGGAGACCGATAAGGAGATTTTTGTAGGGAAACCTGGCTTGAATCTTGAGTTTAAGATGGACAGGTATATTATGATATGCTAAGAGGTGGATAGCATTGTATAGAGAATGTCAGTACCAAAAGTGGTTATGTGGTTGGTATAAATATGTTTGGGAAAACAGAAAACCAGGAGCCAAGATTATGTAAGGTCATACTTTTAGTAATAAAAGTGGAGTTTAGGGTCGGGGTGTGGTGGCGCATACCTTTAATCCCATCTGGGATGCAGAGGTAGGCGGATCTGTGAGTTCAAGGTCAGCTGGGGCTACAGGGAGACCCTGTCTCAAAAAGACCAAAAAAAGGGGCTGGAGAGACAGCTCAGCGGTTAAGAACACTAACTGTTCTTGTAGAAGACCCGGGTTTGGTTCCCAGCACCCACATGGCAGCTAACAGTTGTCTATAATTTCAGTTTCAGGGGATCCAACAGCCTCTTCTGTCCTCCGTGGGCATTGCATGACATGGGTACACTTACCTACATGCAGGCGTAATACTCACACACATGCACATATATATATATATATATATTTGTATATAAAAACCAAAAAAAGGTTTAGAAAAACAATGGCTCTTAGGATAGTTAGAAAGTTTGAGAGATAACTGAGTTGTTCTTAAACTGAAATACATTTAAAAAAGGATGTTGAAACATTTACGAGAGTATTTTTGACTGTTTGAGATGAGTTCTTGCTATGCTGCTCTGACTGGCCTGGTACTTACTAAATAGCTTAGGCTAGCCTTGAACTTGAGGCAGTCCTTCTGCCTTTCAGCTTTGCCAATCCTGGGATTACAGGTGTGAGCTGTCGCCCCTGTTTTAATGGGAACTTTAAAATAAAAATTTGGTTGGGAGAAATGTAACCTAGGGAACCTATAGGGAAGATGCCATTTCATAGAGAAAATTAAATTCCTTTAGGCAGGTTGAATTTGAAGTAACTAGGAGAAATCAAGCTCAGATCCAGTGGATAGTAGTAACCGCGCATTTAAAGGGAGCTAAAAATCCAGGAAGCATCATCTAGCAGGTCACCATTGAAAATACGATAAGATTACATAGAAGATGAGGGATTGAAAGACCTGCATTTCCAAGATAGGGTAAGGAGTTGCAAAAGTACTAGACATGTAGATCAAGTGTGAGAGGTCAAAAAGAGAATAAATAGTACAAAGTAGCTAGTAACTTAATCATTTTAAACAACTTCAGAAACTATTCTGTTTTTGAGACAAGGTCCCAACTTGGTATGTGGTGAAGAATGGCCTGGAACTCCTGATCCTCCTGCCTTCACCTCCCAAATACTTGTATTACATGTGTGTGCCACTGTATCCAGCCAAGAGGCATAGTTTAGACTAGACTTTGTTATTTGTCAGAATCTTGTGTATCATGGCTTTTTCCATTAAAGTGAGACAGTTTAGGTTGTATTATAATTAGGCGGCTATTCTATTTGCTGTTTAACAAATGGCAGTAATATTTTGTTGCTGTTGTTGACTATAATTTCAAATTTTTGGTCAGTATATTTATGCATGTACCACAGGCTGATGCTTACTAGACTGTCAAGTAAAAACACATTAATACTTTCTTCCCCACTTGTAAATTGATTTCCAAAGTTAATTTAGCTTCGATGGGCCATTGAAGAGGCAACTTTGGCTTTTACCAGGATATTCAAATTTAAAATATTCTGCATCTTATGTAAAGATACTGTGACTTTAGACAGAGTTGAGAACAGAGCTATGAGGAAGAAAATAGTTCAGAAGAAATGAGGTTTAAAATGAAACATTCCTTTACATTCAGAATAACCTACCAGTGTAGAAATTTTGCTCCAGTGATATCTTAATACTTAATAATATTTGAGCTGGGCATGGTAGTGCATGCCTGTAATCCCAGCTCTCAGGCAGGAGAATGGCCACAGGTTTGAGGCCAGCTTGGGCTACAGAGTGACACTTTCTCAAACAGAAAACAAAAATATGCTTATTGAGTATTATATACTAGGGTAAGTACTATTTTAAATGTTTTACATGTCTATATTTAGTTTATAAAATTCTATAAGTCAAGGCTATTCTCTTTATACAGATGAAAAGGGATAGCTATTGAGTAGCTTGACCATGTTGTGCTAGTAGGAATGGAGCCAGAACTTGAGTCCATGCATTGGGCTCAAAGCCAAAGTTCTGAAAATATTGTGGTCTTTGTCCTTGCTGAGTTATGGTGGTAGCATTTTGCTGGATTCTTATCTAAAGTTTCTCACTTCAAAACTTAGATTTATAGCCAGGCGTGGTGGTGCATGCTTTTACCCAGCACTTGGGTGGCAGAGGCAGGCGATCTCTGTGAGTTCGATGCCAGCCTGGTTTACATAGTTCCAGGACAGCTGGGGCTACAGGAAGACCCTGGTGGAAAAACAAACAAAAACAAAAAAACCCTTGGATTTATGCAGTGGCATGATAATCAGTAATAAGAATTCAGGGAAGCTGGTAATCTTAGGTAGACGCCAAGAGGTGATAAAGATTTGGAGAAAGTGGGAAAGTACTGAAGTGGGCAGGTTCTCAGAGGAAAAGTAAAGATTACATCCTTGGAGGGGAAGGGGTTAAATTTTGGGGTTACCTTTGAAAATTATCGTGAACCCTTAAAACTTGATTTCTAAAATTACTAATTGTTGGGGGTTGGGTGTTCAGATAGGACCTTACTGTGTAGCCCAGACTGACCTTGAATTTGAGGTCCTTCTCTCTCTTGCCTACTGGATGTAAAATGTGAGGATACAGGAGATGTTTTAAACAAAACATTTTGGCTGTTGTCCCAACATACATCTTTTAGCCCTTTGTCATCTGTGAAAAATTAATTTCTGAGCAGGGCAAGGTGGTGCATGCCTTTAATCCCAGCACTCGGGAGGCAGAGGTGGATATAGCTCTAAGATTAAGGCCAGCCTGGTCTACCTAGTGAGTTCCAGACCACCTATAGCTACAGGGAGACCCTGTCTCAAAAAGACCAAAAATAAATAAAAATTTAATTCCTAGCTGGGCGTGGTGGGCAGAGGCAGGCAGATCTCTGTGAGTTCAAGTCCACCCTGGTTTACATAGTGATTTCAGGACAGCTGGGGCTACAAGGAGACCTTGTCTCAAAAAGGCAAAAAACAACAACAACAAAAAAAAAAACCTAAAGTGATATGGTTAAAATTTTGCAAGTAATAATTTGAAGATTAAAGAGGCAGGTAGATCTTTGTGACTTAGTTACTTATAATGACTCTAGGCCACCAAGAGCTACAGAGAGACCCCGTGTCAATAAAAACAAAAACAAACATAAAATGAATTTGAAGATTCAAGAATGTTTTTGTGGGGTTGGGGAGATGGCTCAATAGTTAAAGTCTTGGAGCTCCCCAGAACCCCATGCAATGCTGGGTAGATTCTAGGGCCTGTTTGTAATTTCAGTCTCTGAAGGTGGACACAGGTGATCCCAGAGCAAGTTCGCTAATTAAACTTGCCTTATCAGTGAGCTCTGGGTTTGATTGAGAGAGACTTTATCTCAGTGAATAAGGTGGAAGACCAAGGGTGATTCTGGACATCAAACAGTCTCACACAGACATGTGCACACATGCAAGCATGCATACATACATGCAAACATGCATACACACATCACACCCTCAGATAGTGGAAAAAGGAAATAATATTTTAATAGTCATAGTTTCACATATTTATTGTTAGGATAGTCTCTAAAAGACGCAACTTAGTCTCCTTTAAGTTTCTGCTTTCTTATTTTAAGTGATGTTTTAAGTGCCTCTGCCTCCTGAGTGCTGGGATTAAAGGAGTGCACCACCACACCCTTTAATAAAGGCCTAACTCCCTTTATTAAAATGAAATAAATTCTCAGAGAAGTTGCCTTAAGTGTGATTTCTGTTAAGATTTAAAGCCCTGTCTACTTTGTAAATGCTACAACAAACGAAAAAGGCTTTAAAATTGTGTGTTAATGCCATAAGGGATCATGAAATAATGTAATTTAGTGTACACATGGTTTTGAGTGGCAGATTTTTGAAATTGTTTGAGGTTTACAGTGTACCTCTTCTGATAATGTTTAATTTATACTTTTGGTAATTCTAGAAGTCATTCTTTATGAAATTATTCACTTTACCTAGTTGTACTCATTGGTTTGGTGAAAGTTTTGAGTATCACAGTTGCGTATTCTTTCAAGTAGTTTAATAATTGTATAATTCCAGTTTTTAAGTTATGTAAGAAGTTAAAGTTTTTCTATTTTTTGTTGATTTTTTTTTTTTGGTGCATTTCATACATCTTAATCATATTTAGAACCCCCCCCAATTGTACTCCCCATACCCGCCTACCTGGCAGATTTCATGTATTCTGTCATACATGTTAAGTCCTACCCAGTCAAGTTTCTGTCCCCAGATGTCCCTTGGTGTGAGTTCATCCACTGGAGCCTGGTCAGCCTATCTAGCGTCACTCCCTTAAAGAAGACCAACTCTTACCCAGCGGTGGTCAGTTGCTAATAGTTCCTCACCCAAAGTCAGGGCTTCTTATCCATTTCCTTACCTAGTCCTATACTGGGTTTTTGTTTGGTTTGAGTTTGCATGGGTCTTGTGCATGCCGTCACCATTGCTGTAAGTTCATATGAGCAAGTTCCCAGCTGCGTGGAAAACTGTTTCCTGTGGTTTCCCTGGCTGACTCTTAATAGTCTTTCTGCCCCCTTTTCCGTAATGGTCCCTGAGCCCCCTGGATGGCAGAGGTTTAATATAGGAGTCACACCCAGGGACACATACTCTGCAGTAGTAAGAGGTTAATTTGCATGAAATGGATATGCACAAAGACACATTCTGCTTTGAAAACAGTATTTAGGGCAAAGTTTTCTAGTTACTTGGGTAATTGGTTATCACCAGTACTCCATAAGCCATGCAGCATTTTCATTGTTTGTGTTTTCTTGTAAAGGGCCATTGTTTTGCCTTATTTTTCAACTTGGCGGTGGCAAATTTAAGAGTTAATAAGTTTATTATAATATTTTTGTGACGTTATACCACACCTTTATGACTAATTTTATGTGGAAGATTAAAAAAATCACATCTGCAACATGGTTAAAGAAGTAATCATCTTTACATGAAAGCCACTTCATTGATGCTTTCTCTTTTTAAACCTTTCTATAGCATGACGACAGAGATGATGGTGTGGATTATTGGGCCAAAAGAGGAAGAGGTCGTGGTACTTTCCAACGTGGCAGAGGGCGCTTTAATTTCAAAAAATCAGGTAGCAGTCCAAAATGGACTCATGACAAATACCAAGGGGATGGGATTGTTGAAGATGAAGAAGAGACCATGGAAAATAATGAAGAAAAGAAGGACAGGCGCAAAGAAGAAAAGGTAGACATTTTTACCTTGTGTTTCTGACAGATTTTAGTATGGGCTTGCTAGATAAATTGATTTAAGGTTTAGACATATTTTGAGTTCTAGAAATATGATTAATTTTTACTAACATTTTATTGACCTTTAATTTCTTTCTTTTTTAGGAATAGTAAGTGTGAAATAAGATTGCAACAGAGAGCAGAACTTGACACCCAACATTTTTTTTTACCTGATTTTGTTTTCAAATGAGAATGTAAGCATTTTACTTAAATTTTACTGTTTGCAGGTAGTCTATAGAAATTTTGTTTTAAGTCTTCAAATATCTTGAAAAAATAGTAGACTGTATGTTGAAAATTGTATTGAAATAAAGTAGAAAATTGTTACGTACCATATTTGTAACTATCAACTTTTAAAAAACTTTTACTGTTTTTGTTACATGCATTGTATTTCTTCTTTGTCTATAAGAAGTACAGCTCTGTGAAAGTTCTGATTCTCTTTCCTCCCTGTTTGTTAATGTTTTATTCTGAAGTAAACATTAGCTCTACATATAAATCCTTGAACGGAAATTGTTTATAGTGACCACACTAATTATTTTAACTGTACACATCTGTTCAACATCATCTTTAACTCGAATACTACATTGTAGGGTGACTAATTTTTGAAGTATACCACAGAGTTGCTACTGGTATAAATGAAACTAGTTTCACACTTCACCAATATACAAGGAGAACAATAGCTTTGCTAATAGCTAAAAAGTTCAAACTAGTAAAAGTTAGATTGAAAGGTTTGAGAAAGTGGTATTTTTCTTAAAAGCAGTGGGCTATAAATTCATTTTAAGGAATCTTTCCTATTTGAGTTCAAATTTGAATATTGTCTTTCTATTCTTGATAGTTTGAGTCACGGTCTTACATACCAGCTATGTGTGCCAGCTGTTTGAGAGATACTTGTTTGTAATAGCATTGTTAAGTCTAAGTCTTAGTTCACAGACCAGATTAGTTAGTATTTAAACACACACACAGACTCAGACACAGACAGCAAAACTTGTAATCCTGATTATATGGATGGAGGAGGATTCTTCTGCAGGACAATTAGATGCATTCAGTACCTTACCTGATTTGATAGCTCAAATTTATAGTAGGTTTTGAATAGCTGTAGGTTAGTTTGTAGTTTAGCTACACACAAGATGAGACAGACACAACGTTCTGTTCAGTAGTATTTAAGTAGCTTATTTTCTCTTAATGTCACCAATAAAAAATTGTGGCAGGAAGTTTGTAACATTGATCTTTTTTCCTCATTGGTTTCAGTTTGTAAAATGGCTTTTTTAAATTTTTAAGGATTGTTTTTTAGGTGGTCTTTCTTTACCTTTTATTTTTAATAACCCTTAAGAGAATGAAATAGTAAACTTCAGTGTTATTTGATTTTTCAACATGTAAAACTGGCCACATTACATTTAATTCAGCAACTGGATTAGTTGTATATTTTTGCATTTAAAGGAGATAATGCTTATTCTATTAATGTAAACTTTTAAAGCTTTTAAGTGTATGATTGTTTAATTCTCAGTTTTGATGGTTTGTAATGTGTCTTATTTCTTCATTATAGCCAGGGACATTTGGTAAGAGCTATTGGCAACAAATTCAACTGAAACCAAAGCCAGCATATGATGTTTGTCTTAACATCCACTGTATTGCATGGTTTCTTTCATTAATTTGTCTCTGAAATTATTCAGTAAGTCAGAAAAAACATGCTGAAGCAACTATATTGCTTTAATGTGGACATAACTAGCACCATCCTATTCAGATTAATAATTAATCCCTTGACACAGATTTTTTTCATACTGTTCTATTTTCTATGAATACATACAGCTTTTATTTTAACAGCTATTTGATTATACACTGAATTTCTGCATGTTTGTACATGTTTAGCTTTGCTTTTTCTACAATAGAGAAAAGATTTGCTGAGAAATTCTTTAATAGGGAGCTAAAAGGTTTTAAGTGCGATTCAGTGATGCAACGTTTGGTTACTTTCATTCTTTCAAAGTTGAAGAAAGTACCCCACTACAGTGTAGTAACGGTTGTTAGGAGCACTCGAGTAGAACACTGTCACGAATCTTAGCTTTCTCAGAGCCAAGCATACAAAAAGTAGCCTATATGTGTTTTTGAAACCATCATTTAATTTTACACCTCATGACATGTTACAAAAGCTGAATGGGTCCTTTTGATAAAGATGCTAGGTTACAAATAGTACCAGGAAAATAACTATGATAAATCTGCATTAACAGATTTCCTTTTGCCCAGAGAAAATAAATAAAAATGAACCAAAGGATAGTCCCAGAAAAAATAAAGCTGTTTGAGAAGGCCATGACTCAGTTCTTAGATGTGTAAACTTTTCAACATCCTAGGGAATTTAAATTTAAAAAGCAAAGTGTTTTCCAGTTGCCCTCTACTTCAAAGAATTGTTATTGTTCCCTTTTGTCACAGTTAAAATCAGTGTTGGGAATTAGAGTTTGAGGAAAAAAGATATTAACCCAATAAGAATGAATGTAGATGGCTAAATGCTTTTTACTCAGTGTGATGTATAATTCAACAGGGATCCTTGTAAATTGTCATATGCCAATAAAATGTTGTAAGTGGTATTAGCTGTTGTTTGTTCACCTGATCTTCAAGGGTATACCTGTGTGTATTCTATAAGATACTTATTTCTATGGCCTGTTTCTGGACTTTGGAATATCAACACTGTAGTAAACCTGGTGTATGGTTTGATAAATATTTTCAGAAATTTGTCAGACCTGTCTTAACTGTATTCTCTCATTTCCCCCGGAAAGATGGGAATTCATGCAGAGTTTACCGAGCCGTTATTAAAACAAACAAAAACAAATTCCAATTTAATAGTTTAGTCATCCCCTGGACATGATGGCATAAACCTTTAATCCCAGGACTCAATAGGCTGTGGTGATCCTCCTGCCTAAACCTCTTGAATACTGGGATTACACTATGAGCCATCATACCACATAAAAGTCAGGAGTCTTAATAGATTTGTAAATGAACAAGGTTTGCAGCCATTTAGTTTTTAGGAGTACTTTATTTCCTCAATATGCTATATTTTACTTGGCATGAGTTATGAACTGATTTTTAACCAGTTACTACACTGGCTGGCCTGATAACTGATCTCTCCATTCTTTTGAGGTAACTACTGGCAGGGACATGTTCTGTTTTAATTTGTGTTGCTATTGCTGTCTATAGTAAGAAGGTGGCTCTACTTAATACAGACAGCATTACTGTGTTTGTCATGAATGTCGGGTATATGCTTCTGGTGACTCTGCCATGATTTGTTCAGTGCTTCAGACATGGAAATAATATTTTTGGACAAGGGCAACATGAAGCTAAAGATGGAAATGCAGTTGCTCTAGCTGCTGGTTTGGTGCAGGTTTGTGCCAAGAGTCCTCACAAAGACCCCTAACAGAAACAAAGGATAGCCTTGAGGATCTTCCAGGGAACCACCAAATAGGTCAAATGATGAGTTTTCTGTGCGTGGGGCTTTGAAGGAACTCCAGCCCTATTCTACCCATCTTGTGCCTGGAAGCTGCCATCTTTCACTGTGACTGCAGAATGTTGATTTTTCAAGACTACAGTAGGAGTGGACCCCTAGTGTGGACTAGCCGAGGACTCACAAGCATGGGAATATGTATGTATGTGTTAAAGATGTAGGTTCTCGGGCCCTAAAGCAGTAAAATCTATGGAATTAGAACTTCTTGAGGAGGAAACTTTATTTTTAAAATTAGTAGGATTATGAGATTTTCAGATTATTTTTTGCAGTTTATTAGTATATACTAGTTATATATGATAATCAACTATATTTCATACATGTACATAATATTTTTAAAAAAGATTGTATGAGTGTTTTGCCTGTATGTATGTGCTTGGTGCCTGTGGAGGCCAGAAGAGGGCATTGGATCCCCTGGAACTGGAATTAAGGGTGGGTGATGGCCACCATGTGGGTCCTGTGAGACAAACTTGAGTCCTCTTGAGAGCAGCTTGCTGAGCCATCTCTCCAGCCCTGACAGCAACTCTTGTCTTCAAATCCGTGGGTGGTGGCAGGCCATCATAAACCTGTTTCTCTCCCATGACAAAATACTCTTGGGCCCACTCTTGTGCAGGTAATGACAGCTGCTAGGAATTGAAGAGTAAAATGGTCATGTCAGGAAGGAGGATCATGAATTTGAGGACAACTTGGGCTACATGGTGAAGTATGATCTCACACAAATCTTTTTTGAGAAGGACTCATGTGACTTGTGCTGTTGGTGAGATCACTGTGTATCAGAGAATGACCTTCAATCTATCCTACTGCTTCTACCTCCCAAATACTTGGATTATAGGCCTGTGCCACAGTGCCTAGTTACTAAAAAAATAAATTTTTTCTTTGGTCTTTATTTGAAAAATGGCTATAAAAGACAAATATCAGAGGATTTGGTGAAAAATAGCTTTTATACTTTATTAATGATTTAATGACAAACATTTTCAGTGTACTTTGTACTCATTGTCTGACATTTTTCCACATTTAGTCATGAGTAAAATGGATTCTAGGGTTAAAATTTTTGTTGTGGATGTGGTTAGGTGGGAGATGGTGCCCATGCTGTATAGCACTTAATGTGGAGATGAGATGAGACAACTTTGTGGAATGGATTCTCTCTCATCTTTATGTGGGTTCCAGGGATTCAATCAGGCTTGTGAGGCAAGCACCTCTACTCACTGGGCTGTTTCACAAGTCCTCAATTTTTTTTTTTTTTTTTTCTGGCTTTTTGAGACAGGGTCTCCTGCAACTCCAGCTGGCCTAGAACTCATTATGTAGACCAGGCTGGCCTCAATCTCACAGAGATCCTTTTGCCTCTGCCTCCCAAGTGCTGGGGTTAAAGGCATGCGCCACTGAGCCGGGCACAAGTCCCCAACTTTATTTTACAATAATTCAGAGTTAAGAGAAAATGGGTCAGTAGAATAAAATGAGGTACATATACCTTGTGTGTGTGTAGTTCTGGAGTTAGAGCAGAGCTTTGTGTAGGTTAGGCAAGCCAAGCCCTCTTATCTTGAGGTATATCACTATCCCTTGTTACATGGACTTTGATTACTTGATGAAGTTATGTTGGTGAGTAAATGCTTAAACGTGGCTCTCTGTACTGGCTCAGTGATGTAGTTGAGGCTCAGGCAGGAGTTTCACCTTGGTTAGTGTGAGGTCCTGTCTCAAAAAATCAAAACAAAAACGGTTCCCTGCAGAAGTATACAGTCTGGTTTGTTAGAAATGGTGTTACCTTATGCTGAACTTTTTTCTAGTTTGGATTACTTTACATCACTTGCTGTTTCACTTACAGGTAGGGTGCTTTGTGGCTAACTAACTGAAGTTAGTGATTAAACATGCGAATCGCAATAGAAAAATACTAAGATTTTCAAGTTGTCAATCTTGCGACATTCCAAATCTTTAGAATTATGTAACTTAGGTTTTGTAATTTTAATACGTCTGCAATTAACTAGCAATTTATACAATGTAGGTGTATCATGCTTCTCTCTGCTTCCCACTATGCTTTCCTGTCAATGCAAAAAAAAAAAAAAAATAGAACAGCCTTTTCAGGATAATTCAAATTTTAATATCAACGAGAATCTTGTTTTTACTAACCTTCCAAAGTCTGAATAAATGTAAATGTAAAGATAGAAACCATGTTAGGGGACTGGAGAGATGGCTCAACGATTAAGAGTACTGGCTGCTCTTGCAGAGGATTGGGGTTCAAATTCCAACACCCACATGGCTGCTAACAACCATCTTTAACTCCATTTCCAGAGGATTGAATACCCTTTTCTAACCTCGTCAGGCATAGTACATCAGGGCTGCAATTAGATGTAGGCAATATACTCAGACCCATAACAGTATTTTTAAAAAAGAAACTATTAGGGCCAATGAGATAGCTTAGAGGGTAAAAGTGCTTATCACCAAACCTCAAGACCCAAATTCAATCCTTGGATCCCACGTGGTTAAAGGAGAGATGAATTCCTGTAAGTTGTCCACTGACCTCTCTCCATATGAGTACTGTGGCATATGGGTACCCCACCACCTAATAAAATGTACAAATAAACAGGGTGTAGTGGCTCACACCATTAATCCTAGCATTTGGATGCTGAGGCAGGATTGCTTCAAGTTCAGTGCTGCCAATTTAGTAAAGAAGTTGATCTCCAGGCTAGTGTGGATTACTTAGTACATGCCTGTAACTTCAATACTTGGGATATGGAGGTAAGAGGATTAGTCTCACCTTTGGTTACATGCAACCTCATCTTAAGAAACCAAAACAAAAAACCTTAAATGGATGTGTGATCTTAAAAAGAGCTGGCAGGCTTAGTGTAGTGTATCACTTGATTTTGAGTGACATGTATGGGCAGAGCAGAAGGAAGAAAATGTGCAGTCTTCCATTTGAAATTACATGAGTTGTAAGGAGATGGAATTCTGGTTATGTCCATCCCAATTTAGATGACCTTATTTGTGGGATGTGGTTTTGGATGGAAGGCATGGTTACTTAGGGCTAGTGTAGTGCAGTAATTCAGGTTTCCATTATCAGTGAAAACAGGCTGATGCTGGTCACAAGGTTATAGCTTTCACTAGGAAGTTGGCAAGGTTGAGTACAAACTAATCCTTTTCTCCATTGAAAAACTGTAGCTGTGGATGTACCAAGATGGATAAGACATCTGGTGTGGTGGATCCAGACCATGATATAAATGTTGGCTATAATAAAATTAATTAGTTGTGGAAAGTGTTGTCACCTACATAACAGAACCAAATATGCATATGCAGTATTTGCAGTAAAATTAGCTGTTTACAAATTTCCAGAAAATGGCAGTTGAGAATCAATTCCCAATCTACCCGGTGGTCAGTTATGAGAGAGCAGAGGGAAGAATTGTGGAATTGTGAAACACTAGAATCCCAAATAACCATTCACTGGGAAGCCCCTGATGGTGTCCTCTGATAGTGTGAAGTACCCACAGTATAGTCTGCAGTGGCTAGAGCAGTTTGTCCTTGCAATCTACAACATGAATTGCCAGGTCTAGAGACAGCCTTGTTCACACTAAGGAACCAATTTGAGAACAGAAAACGGGGAGCGTCGATTGAGTTGAAGGAAGTGAATACTGCCACGTGTTCAGAAAACAAGCTCCTGTATGATTACTCAAAAGGTAGCTGTGTAAAGTCAAAAACCATCCTTGAATCATGACAAAAAAGATTAGAAAAATGACAAGTATAAAAATGTCATATGAATGCTCTTGTAAACATGAGTTGGGGAAGGATCTCAAATTGTCAGCAAAGCATTCATGGACCCCACCTTGCTGTGGGAGTTAAAGCTGGAATGCTGAAGTATGTTAATTAGCCAGAGTAAGTCCACCAGTGGTTCACATTTTCATTCTGGCTATTGCGTGCTTGATAGATAATGGAAAGGGAGGTGGTTATAATGCCATTTTTTCTATTAAGAGGGCAAAAGGAAAGGGTAAGGAACTTGAGAAAATTGAAATGGATGCATTAGCAGGTAGGGATTCTAATCCACTTGTCTTTAGTCCACTCACCTGCTGCTTTCATCCACTTCATTTGGACTACCAGACACTATAAATCACTACTGTTGTTCTGCCACTTATTTAAGGCCTAAATAATTTTTCATCATGTTTTCTCTCATATCCAATTATTCAAAAAATGGGAAGAGCGCATTATATATGTTTTATATATGGTTCTCAGAAAACTTTGATCTTCGCTAGAATGTAAGTGCAGGCAGCCAGGTTTTTAGATTTTCTCTTAAAATGCCAGGCACATAATAGCCATCCAGTATAGCTGATGAATAAATGATGGCAATCAGAAATGAATTTTCGCGCTCTCACAAGAGAGCAGGCAAGTACAATTATTTTAAGTCGTCTTGCCTCTAGGAAGTCAGTAACCTCCAGTTGAAAGCTTTGGGTATCACCTACTGTAGCGACTTAGTCATTTTACTATCCTTGGCTAGGTAGGGGAGTGTCCGCCCATACTTGATATCCTGGATAACGAGTTTTTGTGAACCAACCAATGCAGTTTAAGTATGGCAAAGCTACAAACTCACTGCGAGCAGTGCGTAGCTTACAGGTAGGCATTGAACACACGTTCAATGAATGACCAGAAAACAGACCCCAAGTCCGCTGGCGGAAAGTTTGTCGGATTGGGAGGGGGCGCCCTCTTTGAGTCCCAGTATGGGCGGCCACACACTCCTTGCGAAGACTTGAAGGGGGCACGAGGCCTAACAGCCTGTCCAGCACAGGGCTTTACACTTGGTTCTGTAACTACCGCTCCAACCACCTTGCGAGGGGTGGTGCGGGGCGGGATGTGCGTTCTGCGCATGCGCCGCCGTCCTGCGCACCCGCTTCCTGGTGACGGCTAAATTGCTTCTCGGGGCTCGGCCCTCTGGAGGAACGCCGCACCTGGGAGGCCTCCGCCCGCCAATCAGAAGAAGCGGTGTTCAGTCCTGTCCAATGGGGAAGGGTTCAGGGTCCGCACCGCGGAGTTTGTTTTGCGGACGTGTCGCGGAAACGGTGAGCGGATTTTCCATAGAGCGGCTTCGTGCCCGGAGGCCCGGTAGGTACTGGCGCTGGCGGCTCGGCTATTGGCCTGGGTGGACCCGGTCTGCGGGCAGCGCTTCTGGAGCAGCAGCAGCGGACGCTGAAGCCCGCTTCCACGACGCCCTTCCGGTGCTCCGGGAGGAAGGTGAGCCGGCCGGGCTCCTGGGCGGTGGTTGGTGGCGGAGGCACGTTCCCGGGCGTGGGCGGCGCTCCTCCCGGCTGCTCGTTTCTGAAAGCTTTGAGGCAGGCTTCTTGGGTTGGGCGAGCTTGCCTGGCCCCGGCTGACTTGAAGCCCTCTGTCAGCCTCCCTGTGTTGCAGGCCCCGACTAGAGGACATCCATCTTACCATCCTGCGTGTGACCTGGCCTAGTTATTTTTCAGCTTCCCCGAAACTACCCACACCCTGCAGGGACCATGGGTGCCTAGAAATGACCACATCAGGCTAAGATAAGCTATAGTCTAATGCTGTAGCTGCTTCTGTCCATGCTTATTTGCTCTGGCGGTTGGATAATAATTTTGAATTTTAAGTGACAACTATGGTGATTGGTCCCTTGTATTCCCGTTCTTACAAAGTACCTAAATGTGTATAAAAGGTTTCTACAAATTCCCTTTGGGGCTGCTCTCTGTATCCGCCACCCCCCCCAAGTGTGGGACAGCAGGGCCGTGAAATAAACCTTCCTTACCTCGACCTCTAGACCTCATGGCGTGGCTTGAATTTCTTGGTTTCCAGTATACAACATTTGGAGGTCCCACCGAGATCTCCAAGACCCCGAGGTTGGAACTGCCAGGGGAAGGCCTCCAAGAGATGTTCCTCTGCCTCTGGCCTTCTACTTTCAGAGTCACTTGCTGCGCCACAAGAGGTAAGGAAAAGCGCTTTCCAGTTTTGAGCTCAAGTCTGGTTTTGTTCTGGTTTGGCGCCTTGGTAGTGAAGAATCGCGCTCAACACACAGGGACAAAACCAAGTTTCGGGATGCAAAAGCAAGAGGAATTTATTCATACACAGGCGCCTGCGGACGCAGAGTCCCGCTCGAGTCAGGACTTGCGTGCCGGGCTTAGTTTGGGGGGGCTTTTTATAGAGCAGAAGCAAGGTACAGAAGCAGATGCATGGTTACAAGATTATTATTAGTGCATTTCAATGGGTACAAGGTATGAGGAAACAGTATTGCCAAATTCAGAGGGGTCTATGGGTGAAACTGATTGTTATCGTTAACTTCCCAGTAGGGGCTGTTATCACTAACTTCCCGGTAGGGGCCTCAGGGTGGTGGCAGGTGGTCCGACTGCAAACGTCCTATCTTCCACTGCTAGTTTCACAAGACCTGGGTTAGAATCTTGGCTTATCGAATGGCTGATTACAGTTCTTTTTCTAAAATGGCCTTCCTGCTGTCAGTCGGGTCCTTCAGTAGGTGGGACGCTGGACACAGCAATTACCCATCTGGTCGGCCATTGGAGGAGACATCCCCGAGGTAGATCTGGTTGGGATCTTGAGGTTCCCAACGTCTGGGCCTTGTTTTTGTATCTAAGCCTTTTTGTTGTCTGGTCTGCTTCTTTGCTGTTCATCACTATGGGCCAGTCTTAGTCTTCTGTGTCCTCTATCCCCTTTTGAATGTATGTTCCCTATTCTGATTTCAGGAAGAGAGCTGAGAGCATGGGGTTTAAGCCTAAGGCCCCCAGACTTCATACCCTTTGTGAACTAGACTGGATGTGAACTATCTCAGCTAAATTAACCTAGCCTAAGTTATTCCATTTTGCCCAAAGCAGCCATTTCAGGAGCAGTTAGAAGGGTTTGAAGGAAAGCTGATCTCTGAACTGGTGGAAATTGACCAGAAGGTCTACCATGGCTGAGATAGGCCTGCAAAGGAACAAGGAAAAGAAATTGGAAAGATTTTAATGGCAGCCTGGGGAAAGCCACCCAGCACCTGGCCTCTACCCCAACAGGGTGATACCAGGCAGTCTAAAGGGACAGGCATGAGTTGTAAATTGGAAAAGAACCAATGTGCCTACTGTAAAGAAAAGGGCCACTGGAAAAATGAATGTCTTCTGAAACAGAAGAAACCAGCTTCTGTCTTGCCTGCCTCTGAGCAATGACAGGGCCAAGGCTTCTCTCCAAATCCTCTGGAGCCTATGGTGACTCTTAAAGTAGAAGGGGAGGATACCAAATTCCTGGTAGACATGGGCTATTTACCCAGTTTTAAAGAAACCTGCTGTGTCCATGATCAAGGACAAGGTCTGTATCCAGGGAACAACAGGGAGGACCCAAGGGTATCCTCAAACTCCAGCAGGAATTATGGATTTGACACAAGGGACTGTAACTCATTCACTCCTTCTTCTACCTGATTGCCCATACCCTCTCCTTGGACGGGACCTGTTACATAAAGGCCCACATTTCCTTCACCGGAGACAGCCTTTAATCTGGACCTATAATCACCCACTGTTTTGGTGACCTGCCCCATGTCTGTAGAGTATCAGTTATATGAAAATCCTGGTAAGCAGAATTCCCCACTACTAAATAAAGGGAAAGAGGAAATTCCTACTGTGGGCTGAGACCAACCCTCTAGGGCTGGCAAAGCATCGAGTGCCAGTAGTTATCCAAATGACCAGCACTGCCACTCTGTGGTTGCCGGCTGTGGCTGCTCTCCTCTGGCTATGGCCACTCTCCTGGTCTCTCAGTTCCTCTGATCAGTTGTCTGGTCCGGTCCCCAGGGCTGGTGCGGAGTCTGTGCCAGCATCGCAGCATTCAGATGCTGAAGACCAGGTTCAGTGACACAGATCTGGTTTATTGCAGGAAGGCACAAGCTTATATGGGGTAGTGGTCCAATCACAGCACAGCAAGTAGGATACCTTATTAGCATAACAGATTTAGCATCCTATTAGCATAACAGACTTAACATCCTATCACAGAATACCAGGTAGGATGCCTCATTAGTATACTGGGTTTCAGATTACAGAGCCTGGATTCCTGGAAACCATGTGACCCTGACTGTTGCAATATCTAAGTGTTGCAATTTTGAATTCCAAGGGTGGTGATTAGGGAGTGGTGAGCTCTAGGCATCAGTCTCGATCTGCCAATGGGAGCAAATGTCACAAGGCATCCCTTGGGGCTCCAGTGGCTGGGCCATTGCCTTAGGTCCACTGTATGGCTGTCAATAAGACTTTCACCCTAGGCTCAAGCCTGTCTCCCATACCACTCCAATGAGGGTTAGGCAATATAAGTGTCACCAAGCCCACCTGGGAATTGCCAAGCATAACAACCCCTTGAGAGAAGCAGGAGTTTTGGTGCCTTGCCACTCCTCATGGAATACTTCCTGCTTCCTGTTCCAAATCCAAGAACTACTGAGTTAGACCTGTTCAGGACCTCAGAGAGGTGAATAAAAGGGTTGAGACCCTACACCCCACTCTCCCTAATCATTACACCCTGCTTAGTGAACTCCCACTTGACTGACAGATCTACTCAGTTCTAGACCTAAAGGACGCCTCTTTTGCCTTGCTGGTAGCCAAAGCCAGCCCATCTTTGCCTTTGAATGGGCTGATCCAGATGGCGCCTACAGTGGGCAATTAACATGGACTAGACTGCTTCAGGGTTTAAAAATTCCCCAATGCTGTTTGATGAGGTCTTCCGAAAAGATTTAGTCCCTTTCAGGGACTCCAACCCTGAAGTCACTCTGTTACAGTATGTAGATGACTTGCTTCTGGCTGCAGAGTTGGAGGAGGCTTGTCTTCAAGTCACTGAAAACCTGCTAAGAGAGCTAGGCACTCTGGGATACAGAGTGTCTGCCAAAAAGGCCCAACTTTGTTTGGACTCTGTCACCTACTTGGGCTACAGGATCCGCAAAGGAGAATGGTCCTTGGGACCTGACAGGATCCAGGCTATATTAAATATACTGAGGCCCAAGACTAGGTGACAAATTAGAGAATTTTTGGGTACTATCAGCTACTGCCGCCTTTGGATACCAAGTTTTGCTGAAATAGCCAAGCTATTTCCTTGTATACAGTGACAGGAGGTCAGGGAACTGACCTAGCTTGGGGAGAACTGGAGGACGAGGCCTTTAACTGACTCAAGCTGGCCCTACCAAAGCTCCTGCATTGGCCCTGCCTGATGTGACTAGGCCTGTTCAGCTCTTTGTGCATGAGACAAGGATTATAGCCAAATGGGTTCTCACTCAAACCCTGGGACTTTGGAAGAGGCCAGTAGTGTATTTGTCAAAGAGATTGGACTCAGTAGCCACTGGCTGGCCAAGCTGCCTTTGGGCCATAACTGCCATGGCCATGCTGGTAAGGGAGGCTTCTAAACTAACACTCAGACAGGATATCCAGATCATTGAGCCCCGTGCAGTAGAGTCACTCTTCAGATCCCTGCCAGACCAATGGATCTCCAATGCCCACATCACCTGGTACCAAGTACTGCTACTGGACCCACCTCGCTTCACTTTTCTGAGAACCGAAGCCTTGAACCCTGCCACTCTGCTACCTGATGATAATCCTAAGACTCCACTCCATGACTGCTTGGAAACTGAGTACCCTCTCAGGACTAAGGGAGGACTTGTGAGACCAACCTCTGCCTGATGCAGACCTTGAACTGTATACAGATGGTAGCAGTTATCTCAAAGAAGGTGTCAGTTTTACGGGGGCAGTGGTAGTGACTTGAGACTATTGTCTGGGCCCAAGGACTCGGGCAAGGAACATCTGCCCAAAAGGCGGCGTTAATAGCCCTCATGTAAACCCTAAGATGGGGAAAAGGAAAAACTGTTAACATTTATACAGACAGTTGGTATGCCTTGGCCACTGCTCATATCCATGGAGCTCTTTATAGAGTGAGAGGACTGTTAACATCTGGGGGCAAAGAGATTAAAACAAGGAGGAAAATCTTGGTACTTCTAGAGGCTTTTTGGCTGTCCAAAGCCATAGCTATTGTTCACTGTAAAGGCCATCAAAAGACAGATACCTCACAAGCCAAAGGAAACACCTTTGCTGACCATGCAGCTAAGATTGCGGCGAAAGGGGAAGTGGTGCCAATCAGAATTCTGCCATTACTGCCCCCTCGCCTCTTCCTGGAGGAACCTGTCTATATGAAGGAGGAAATTCAGCTAGCAAAGAGTTTAAAGGCTAAGCAAAATGCCCAGAAGTGGATCTGGTTGGATAATGGGAGACCTATGCTGCTGAAGGTGTTGGGAAGAGATTGGCTACAAAGGATTCATGATTCCACCTACCTGGGAACCACAAAACTCACTGAACTGGCACAAAGAGAGTTTTTCATCCCTAACCTGAATAAAAAAATCTCTGACATTGTTGAAAGATGTAAGGCATGTGTTCAAACTAACCCTGCCTCAAGGTTCCAGTTTTCAGAGCAGAGACTGAGAGGACAAGCACTGGGAGAAGATTGGGAACTTGACTTCACAGAAATGATGGATGTGCAGTATGGCTGTTGTTAGCTCCTGGTCCTGGTGGATACCTTCTCCGGATGGGCAGAGGCTTTTCCTACCCAAACAGAGACAACTCAGATAGTACTTTAAAACTTGCTAAATGATCTTGTACCAAGATTTGGCATCCCTATCGATCTGGGGTCTGATAATGACCCAGCTTTTATAGCGCAAATATCAAAAACTATTGCAAAAAGCCTGCAAATCAACTGGAAACTACACTGTTTATCACCCTCAGAGTTCAGGATGGGTAGAAAGAATGAACAGGACCCTTAAGGAAACTGACTAAACTAATTTCAGAGACTGGTGAAAACTGGACAAGTCTCCTTCCTTTTGCCCTGTTTAAAGAGTAAGATGCATTCCTTATCTGAAAGGGATTACCCCATTTGAGATTATGTATGGGAGGCCCCCCTCCCTTAATTCCCAAATTAGGACTGGCATATGTAACTGAAGCTTCTAACCATAATCTTCTCAAGTCCCTACAGGCATTGCAGCATACCCTCTCCTCCATCCACAATCTTGTCTGGGAAACACGAACTGAGGCAGCCACATCTCAGGAACCAGCTGGACCAGATTTGGCCCCTGGGTACTGGGTCTGGGTGCGACACCACTCTGCTCCAGACTTCCAGGCTCACTGGGATGGACTGCATCCTATCATCCTGACCACACCCTCAGCTGTCAAAGTAGCCAGGTGGTAGTCATTGGATTCATTGCTCCCAACTGAAGAGAGCCCATCTGGAGCATATCCCTCAGACATGGAGCCTCAAAAGGACAGACAATCCTCTAAAGGTCAAGGTGGTAAAGGACCCCTCTGGACTATCTTAACATTGTTCTCCCTCCTTTTTCTAGTTTTTACCAATGGCAAATAGTGTCTATGCCCCAGTTCTGTATTGTTGAGTCCTAAGCCATACCACCGATGGTTATGTTTAAGGTAATGTGAGTACTGTAGGAACTCCACAGATGGACTTTGACTTATGTAGACTGTTCATGACCCCACTTCATTCAAAGGTGTCTGGAAGGAAACCCATCCCTTTGCTGGATGAGCTGCCAGGTGGACTCAGTAAAAAAGTATTTCCAGAAGGCCAAGTTTTATATCTGCCCTGCAAATGGGCCCCTAAGCTGTAATGGTCCGGAAGAATGGCATTGTAAGAATTGAGGATGTGAAACTATAGCCCCTTGGAAACAGTCTAACCAAGACAATTGGATAGCCCTCCAAAAATTGGCCCCTAGCACTTCTAATCCTAGTGGATGGAAACTGCTAGGGAACCAAAAGGCATGGGATACAGGGAAGATCTGGGCCATCTGATTACATCTCTGGGACTGACCCCGGACCCAAGTTCACCCTCCAAAGATTAGAGTTTCCACTGCTCTGTCTCTGCTATGGGTCCTAATTGGGTCTTGAACCCACTACCTGACACCAGAGGAAAGCCAATTCTAAGCTCAATTAATCCCACTTCTAAGCCCCAGTCTGAGGTCCCTAAGCCCCAGCCCAAGGTTGCTCTAGCTACTCCACATTGGAACACCTAGAGCTGTACAAGTCATTGTACTGTACATACAAGTTCCTCAATTACTCGAACCCCAGTTTAACTCGATTGTTGGTTATGCCTAGACTCCTGGCCTCCTTACTATGTTGGCATTGGAGCACTTGCCTCCCTGGGGAATGATGAATCAAACATAAGGAACCTTAGTGTGCCAGAGATAAAAAACTAGACAGCACTTTGCCCATGGGGCTCTCAGATGGCACTTTGCCCATGGTGCTCCCAGCCAACTCTTAACACTAGGAAAACTAGAAGGACAAGGACTGTGTTTTTCTGTAGGAACTTAGATCATAGGCCGGTCCCCATATCAGGCCACCTGCAGCTGAACCTTTCACATAAACAGCCTATTGGCGGGAATGTCCCCTTATTACCTTGTTCCCCCAACAGGCATCTAGTTCGAGTTCGCTTGTGAATCCGGACTTACACCTTGTATTAACCCCTTTATCCTTGGTCAGCTATCTGATCTCTGTATCATTGTGCATCTTCTCCCTCAAGTTTACTACTATTTAGGGGAAGGTGGCAAAGAACGTTTTGAGCTCCTAGCTAGGGCCTGACAGCCTCGAGATCTGGGAGTAGCTACTGTCTTAGTGCCTCTTTTAGGTGGGGTAGGTTATTGTAGGATCTGCAGGGATAGGAACAGCTGCCCTTATAATTCAAGATCAAGGCTTCAAATTTCTGAGCAAACAGATTAATCAAGATTTGTCTGAATTGGAAAAATCTATAGGGCACCTGACGACATCTCTTGATTCTCTAGCCAAAGTAGTACTTCAGAATAGATGAGGGTTAGATTTACTTTTCATGTAACTGGGAGGTCTCTGCACGGCTTTGGGTGAACAGTGCTGTTTCTATGCTAATCATACTGGAATCATTAAAGAAAGCCTAAGTCTGGTGAAACAAAGGCTTCAAGAAAGAGGGCACAACTAGATAACCAAAATTGGTATGAATCTCTATTCTCTTGGTCCCCATGGCTCACTATCCTCTTAAGGGCAATGACCGGCCCCTTACTTTTAATCCTAATCTTGCTGACCTGTGGACCTTGTTTATTAAATGCCCTAGTCAGGTTTGTCAATCAACAGCTCAATTCAATAAAACTTATGGTATTACGGAGTCAATATGATTTCCTCCAAACTGAATCAACAGAGGATGATGAGATATCAAAGGTTTGATTATTTCCCAATAGGAGTGGGGAATGTAGCAGGCCCTGGCTAGAGGACATCCATCTTGCCATCCTATGTGACCTGGCCTAGTTATTTTTCAGCTTCCCCCAAACAACCCACATTCTGCAGGGACCATGGGTTCCTAGAAATGACCACATGTCCGGCTAAGATAAGCTATTGCCTAATGCCGTATCTGCTTCTGTCCATGCTTGCTTGTTCTGGTGGTTGGATAATAATTTTGAATTTTAACTGACAACCATGGTGATTGGTCTCTTGTGTTCCCGCTTTGGCAAAATATCTAAATGTATATAAAAGGTCCTTGCAAACTTCCTTTGGGGCTGCTGTGTTCTCTCCCGGAGTGTGGGACAGCAGGGCCATGAAATAAACCTTCCTTACCTCAACCTAGACCTCTAGACCTCGTGGCGTGGCTTGATTTCTTGGTTTCCAGCATACAACACTTGTACAAACTCTCCATAAGACTTTAATGTCACAATGAAGTTTCATTTTTAGCCCCTTCCTCCCTGCACTTTTTTTTTTGCTTGGCTTCTTTCAAAGTAAAACTGGCCATGAAAAAATCACTTGTTGGTGTAACATGTCTTGAAAGGTCTCTTGTAGCTTATTCAGTGCAATTTATGTGGAAGTTATTTGTCATGAGTAATATTTTCTAATTATTCCTCGAAGGTACCAATTGACAATGTTTCCCTGAACCTGTTTCATCGATGTCTCTCATATTGAATATCTTAAGAAACATGCTGGCATATTTTGGTGTTCCCATAGACCAGGTAAATATCTTTTAAGGAATTTATTCTTTTAATGAATGTTTTTATTCTTGGGTCTCATTATTACTGTTTTTGACACAGGGTATCGTGTAGCCCAGGCTATCTTTGAGCTTCTGATCCTTCTGTCTCTTCCACCTTCCAAGGGCCACTAGGTGGTGGCTCCTCTCTGTCTCTGTCTCTCTCACCCTCTTTTTTTCTTTTGTGTATTTTAGTATTTTGCCTGCATGTATGTGCACCATGTGCATGCCTGGTGCCTGCCGAGGCCAGAAGAGGGCATTGGATCTTCCAAAACTGGAGTTACAGACTATTATGTCTGCCATGTGGGTGCTGGGAACCAAACCTAGGTCCTCTTGCCTTAGCAACAAATGCTCTTACCAGCTGAGCCATCTTCCAGCTCCTCCTCCTCCTCCTCCTCCTCCTCCTTCCTCTCTCTCTCTCTCTCTCTCGGGGTCCTCCTCCTTGAGACGGGGAGACAGGGTCTCCCTGTAGCCCCAGCTGTCCTGGAACTCACTATGTAGCCCAGGCTGGCCTTGAACTCACAGAGATCCACCTGCCTCTGGCTGCCAAGTGCTGGGATTAAAGGTGAGTGCCACTTCGCTTGGGTCTCCAACTTTATCTTTTCTTTTAACATAGTTTTTTAAAGATTGATTGATTGATTCATTAGTCTTTTTGAGACAGGGTCCCCCTGTAGCCCCAGCTGTCCTAGAACTCACTATGTAGACCAGGCTGTCCTTGAACTCAAAGAGGTCCACCTGCCTCTGCCTTCCAAGTGCTGGGATTAGAGGTGTGCGCCACCACGCCTGGCTAGATTTATTTTTATTTTTAAACGTGTGTGTGTGTGTGTGTGTGTGTTTGTGTTTGTGTGTATGTGTCTATGTCTGTGTCGTCTGTGTTCTGGATATGTGCTTGTGATTGCAGATGCCCTCAGAGGTCAGAATAGGGCCTGGGATTCATTGGAGCTGTAGTTACGGGTGACTGTGTGGTGCCTGAAGAGGTGCTGAGAAACCTAATTCTTGTCCTCCTCAAGAGTAGTTTGCTTTTAATTGCTGAGCCATTTCTCTAGCTCCCAGGTGGTGTTTTGGGGCCTCATTTTAAAGATGGCTTTTGTCATGGTTAATTTTTATTGTCAACTTGTCACATTCTAAAGTCTCCTGGGAAGAAAGAACCTGAATTAAGGAATTTCACAGATCAGATTGGCCTCTGGCCATGTCTCTTAAGATTGCCCAGTCCACTGTGGGTGGAACCATCCCTAGGCAGGTGGGTCTGGGCTTTATAAGAAAGCTAGCTGAGCATCAGCCAGTGAGTGAGCAAGCCAGTAGGCAGCATTCCTCTTTGGTTTCTGCTTGAATTCTTGCCCTAACATAATCTCAATGATGGATTGTGACCTGGAAGTGTAAGCCATATTAACTGAGTTGCTTTTGGTCATGGTGTTTATCACAGCAACAGAAAACAAACTGGGGTGGAGGGAGCTGGTGGCACAGGCCTGTAATCTCAGTTACTTGAGTGTCTGAGGCAGGATGATCTCAAGCTCAAGGTCTACCAAGGGGGCAGAGTGAGTTCAAGGCCACTTTGAGGCAACTTAATGAAACTGTGTCTCAAAGTAAGTAATAAAACTAGAGATTCATAGCTCAGTAGTAGAGTGTCCCGAACCCGCGGGATCTGCAGCGGGGTACCTGGATTGGGGAGTGGGGATTTGGATGGGGCAAGAGACAAGAGAAATGGAGACAAGACAGCGTTCCGATCGAGTCTCATTTATTGCAGCACAAGCATGAGGTTAAATAGAGAATGAGAACAAAGGAGTAAAGATTGAGAGTAATCATATCAGCTAGACCACAGGGGCCCAGATGTTCTCTAAGGGAGGAATCTACTGATTAACAGAAAACAGGGCAGTTTACTGGAAGAGTACAAGGCCGTGGGCCAAGGTCGCGGGCTCCTTCCCGTGCCCGTGGGAGGAGAGTGGGCAGAATGGAAAGTTATCAGCTTAGGTCTGTTCAGCAGTTTTGAGAAATGGCTGAGCCTCAGGCTCCCAACAGTAGAGCACCTGCCCAACATGAGCAGGGTCCCCTAGGTTCACTCCCCCACTGAGGGGGAAAAAAAAGATGTAAACATTTAAGGCAAAATTGTTACTTCCCTTTAGGGGGAAGAAAGGTGAGTTTGCAATAGTGTAGCTTTGATTGTCTGAGTTTTTAAAATGTAATATTGTTAGGACCTATTTAACCTTTCTGGGTCAAATGCCAATAGAGGATAAAAAAGGAGTAAAATGTGAACATGATAAAACAGTTTTATTTAAGATAACTTATGAACAAGTTTAATGTATGGAAACAGAAAAGCCCAATAAATCTAGAATAAACCTGAAGATGAGAGATGACTTTAGGATTGAAAATTAAAAAGCAAGTCTGTCCCAGCACTTGGGAGGCAGAGGCAAGCAGATCTCTGAGATTGAGACCAGTTTAATCTACAGAGTTCCAAGGCAGCTGGTGGCTACAGGGAGATCCTGTCTCCAAAAAAAAAAAAAACCAAACATAATAAAAAGCAAATACAGTTTTCTCTGCTTGTTGAGCATTTATATCCCAACATTCTTGATTCTCTAGTTCGCAGAGAAGAGCAGTGCATGGTTCTTATGTTTATGATGTTTAGATATGAGGAGTAAAAAATACTGATGTGGGTGCCTACAAAATGGGCAGGTCATCCCCATTTGGTAGAGTGAATTGAGAAAGAAAACCAGGGGTAATACCAAGATTTTAACAAAAGTAAATTAAAGAATGATGGTGTCCAGTTATAAATAGGCAATAGTATGGCAGAATATTTGAATAGGGAAATAGGAAAGCTGAAGGTATTGTTGGAATATGCAGTAGAAATATTCTGCAGACATTTGGATATGTGGTTCTAGAAGACTATAATAAAAAAAATCCAGATTTTGGGAGTTTTCTGCATTATTTTGATGTTTAAAGCCATGAACTTAGGGTGACAATGGAAGATATCATTAGATATTATTGAAACATTTTAAATTTCAATAGAGCAGATCTTCCTAAAACAAGGGACTGTAGATAGGCTGACTAGACCTCAGTGGATAGACTTGCACTGGGGAATGGCTAGGGACACTGATGGCACAGTGGGCCTTAACAGGGATGGCAGAGTATATGGGCTCCACTGGGGGGAGGTCTGGGAGGGTGCCAGTGGGGCCGGGGGTATAAAGAAGATTAAGACTGTTTGAGATGTTCTGTGTGAAGTACACAAAAAATTGAGTAAAAACAAATTTTTTAAAAAAAATTCAATTTCTGGTGTGCCCGTAATCCCTGAATTCTGCAGGCTAAGGCAGAAGAGTTTTGAGTTCAAGACCAGCTAAGGCTATGTTTCAGATTCCTGACTCAAAAAACCAAACACGCCCCCAGAAAGAATTTCTGTAGGTGGACCTGGGCCTGAATTGTTGTAGTATGTAAAGAAGGGAAGTGTTGCCAATAACCTTTGTTAGAAAAATTTATGAAAAGATATTGAGAGAGGCCATCAACTTGAAGGAGCAGTAGTATTGAATTTCTTTTCAGTGTTAAAGTTAACATCTGTAAATTGTAATTTATGAGACTTAATGAAAAAAGAAATGAGTGACAACATATCTAAGATAGTTGAATGGAACACCTAGCAGAATTTTGTCTGGAGTTAGCTGTAAATAGAATTTTTAAAGGAAGCTTTTAAATCTTTCAAAATAATTAGATTTATATCTTTAGTAAGGCCAATAAGATATCCTTATAATGAAATATATAAGATTGGGGAACTTTTTCTAATATAGTGTATTGCATTATTCACTCAGTATTGACAGAAGATGGGGCTATAGATCATGCATTGAGTGATAATTTTCCACTTAAAATTGAGTCATATGTGCCTAATCATTGAAAGCAGGCACCAAAATGGCAAGTCTTTAAAAAGGCAATCTTTTAAACCAATAACAATGGTATGGTAGTTTTGAGAGACTACGGCAGGAGAGTGAACTCCAGATATGGTTACCAAACACCTAACAAAGTCAGTTATCACAGTCTGTACTTTTGAGAATTGTGTAATATGTAGCAAAAACTAAATGCTCTTAAATAAACTTTGATAAGATATGCTTTATAGGCTAATCCATGTAATAGCAAGATTAGAGCAATAATTCCATCAATTTAAGTAGAGGTTTGCTTGAACTTTGACTTTAGATATTTTGATTGATATATATATATATTTATATATATATATGTATATATATCATCTTTAGGTATTTTTTACGTATCTAAAATACATTATCCCAAATCTTTGTAATATACAAAAGCCTTTTTATTTCCATTCTGGAGACATCTAGCCATCTCAATCTTCATAGATAACTCTTTCTTTGCTAAAAATATTTCCATTCTTACATCTTTCTAACATTTTCTCTTATTTATCTTAATATCGTGAGACATTAATAACAGTTAAAGGTTCACAAATTTGCTTTGATGACACTTTAGTTCCAATTCTTTAATTGTTTAAGTGTGAAAGTGCGCCAGCGCAAGCTGTCAAGGGAGCCTCATGCTTGTTGTCATTCATGTCACTTACCCTCAGGTATAGCTGAAAACATCTTCCTCCCCTCAGGTATGGCTGAAAACATCTTCCTCCCCTTCCTTCCCTTCTTTCCTTCTTTTCTCCATAAGTTGCCCAGGCTAGCCATATACTTGATGCTCAAGCAGTCCTGTTGCCTAAGCCTGTTGAGGAGCTGGGGTTGTAAAGCCACACGTGATAGCTGAAATGACCAGTTCGGGGTTCAAAATGATTTTTTTTTTTTTTTGTAAGAGAGGTGGTGGCAGTTTTTTAGAATACAGTTCTTCAAGATATTTAGTTAGATATCTGAGACAGGGTATCTTTTGTAGCACAAACTGGCTTCAAACTTGAGATTTTCCTTTTTCTGCCTCTTGAGTGCTGGGAAGAAAGAGTGCGTGTGTGTGTGTGTGTGTGTGTGTGTGTGTGTGTGTGTGTGT